AATTCTGGAAACATGGACCTCCCATACAAGTTGAACTTGTCTGGTATACAGACGATTCAAAAACCAAGGAAGGAGCCAGTCCTGGAATCTTTGGGACCAAGTCGAAAACATCGAGTTTGTTGAGCCTAGGAAAATACGCAACAGTGTTCCAGGCTAAACTAATAACCATACAAGACTGTGCAAGTATCCGGCAAAACTGTTTGCATCTATTCTGATAGCCAAGCAGCTCTAAAGGCAATTCTCTCACCAAAAATCAAATCACGACTGGTGAAAGACTGCCTTGAAGACCTGGCAGAGCTAAGTAATCAAAAGACCCAACCTGGGCGCAAGACCACGAAGATTATCAGTGCAATGAAAAGGCCGAGAAGACTCGGATAGGAGGGCTATGCCAGGCCCCGAACCCTTCTGTGGAGTTGCTAAGGCATTGCGCCAAGCATCCATCGAACAATGGATGCAAAAATTGTCTCATAAATGATGGAACAGCTATCCGAGATTGAGGCAGGCCAAAGAGTTCATTAATGACCAGTCGGCCAAGTTCATGAAAGACCTACTGGATCAAAAAACGACAAATAATTAGGATAACAGTAGGTCTTTTTACCGGACACTCGCATAAGAAGGCACATGAGTATCATTAATCCAACAGAAGAAGCAATATTGTTCAAGTTTTGTGAAGAAGAAGAAGAAACAACAATCATCGTCCTGTGCCAGTGTGAAAGCCTGGCTAGATTAAGGCTTCTCACATTTTGCAAAAGCCAGACGCATAGAACTACAGGATCCGGCAAAATGATCTCCCACATTTTGCACGGCCACTGTGTCTGCGTAACTGAAGAGAAAGGAGTTTAGTGTATTTAGCTAGTAGCACGCGCTTTGCCATTTTAGTTACATTATTCCAACAAGATCCAGCTCTTAAGGGAAATGTTTAAAGGGCACGTAATCTCGTTACTTGGAGACGTTGGATGACCTGTGACTTTTTCCTTTGGGGCTACCTGAACGCGAATATCTTAAAAGTATTCCCGAACAGGCGCGGATTTGGGAAGATTTCTTGGGGGGGGAGAAGGGGGTAAATAATTTATTCGTCTTGTTTGTTTGCTTTCACGTAAAATCTCGAAGTAACTATTTAACAATAATACGCCAAGAAATTACAGGAATATCGCCTCAAGTGACTGCTCGAGTGATGGATACCTTCAGAGATTGGCTTCGAATGGTTGCCACTTGGTCTCTGTAATTTTCAAAACTTAATGAATCAAATGGAATAGTATACATTTCCATTTAATAAAATGAGATTTTAAATACGAGTATAATTTGAGATTGCGTTTTTATTGAAACTTAAAATGTGGGAGACTATTTTGCCGGACACTGCATCTGAGGAAACCATTGTCAAAGATACTAAGTCTAATATAAAAGATCAAGCTAGACGACATACTCTAAATAACGGAGTCCCACAATAGATCTAAAAAGGCACATAATATCGCACTCCCTTCAAATATAATCTCTAAATGTAACAGCTACTTTAGAAATTTTTTTGTCGCTGCTTTATATTATGCAATTTTAATACAGTGCAATATCCATACAAGTTACAAGTCGTTGCATTTCATTGCATGGTTGTTTTACATTTATGCAACTCTGGTGCAACCCGGTGCAACTAATGGGCGCGTTCAGCCGACGCAACAGTTGAGTATGGTGACTTGTTAGGTCTTCTGAACGTCACTTGTTGAGTTTTGGTTAGTTTCAACCGTTGCTCAAGATCGGCACCAGGAAAATTCTATGGTGACTTTTGTAAACGAAGTATTGTACTCAGTGTTTCAAACTAAAGGAATTTTTATTTTCTAGTGTTTTTTATTGATTTTTAACGACTCTAGGAGGATAAAGCTGATTATAACCTCACATTTTTTAACTTTGAACATGAATTTTGTTGCTTTTTAAATTCTAAAGTTAAACCATGATGAAAAATGTCTGTTATGACTTATTATGACTTAGTACCTATATTTTTACATGATCTTAATTTGTAACCGAAAATGATTTTATTTACATCATCACTAGAAGTCACCACGTGTATGTGTATTGTCTAACGCTGAACCAACTTATATCGTTCAGGTACTTTTAATTGTTGACTTCCACCATATCAGAAAAATGTTTTCGGTTTTAAGTTACTGTTGCGTCGGCTGAACGCGCCCAAATGTCCCAGCAACAGAGTCACCAATATAAAAAAATAACGCCAACCATTGGTGTCAACATATGTTATTTATTCTTATATTATTGTAGTCGGCGGGTGTTAAACAAAGAAGATCATTTAAGTTATGTAATTTTGGATTATTGTTCCTCCATGTATTAGATTTTTTAGTTAGATTTATCTTTTACGTATTTTTATTTTTGTCCAGTACAATTGGTAACACTGTACGTAGTTGGTAATCCGTTTATCACCAAATAAAATTGCTAAAATGTCCTGAACTTGCAAGAAAAATATGTGGAGTCCTAATTTATTCGACTTGCACACAACTTGCAATATCTGATTGAAAATTGCCGAGGCCATCGAGATAGAATAAAGTACAGACGACATAAACATTATTTTGCAATATTACAGATGGACGCACTCCGAGTGACGGAAAAATTTAATAAAAATGGCGACTTGAGTCGTACTTTTATATTTGAAGACTGACGGAATGAAAATATTTTTATATCATTTAAATAAAGCTATTTAAAAAAAAATGGCATTTATTCTCGCCACATACTTTGATTACTATACGGTGCAAGAGAGAGGTCCGATACGCCCAACATAGGGCGCGGCCATTTTGATTCCTATGTCACAGTTTATAGCTAAAGAATCAAATCGCTCATTCTGCGTCGGCAATTTTGATCTCAATGTTCCAGTTTATACACTGCGCAACTCGGATAATACAATATATGACAACCGCCTATAATAAAACAGCAGTCTTCTGCGTATTCTGAATTTGTATCCCTGGGGTGGATGTTATTTTGGAACTTTCAACTGGTCCGAGTGAGTTAACTGATTCTTTAGCAATAAACTGTGACTCCAAAAATAATATTCACTGACACTGACAGCAGCAAGCAAAATATCAGGTGCGTTCTAATCATCAGCTTCTGCTTCCGAAATTGTCGGTTTAGTCGTTTTATGCTGTCAGATTAAAACAAGAAAACCGACAATTCCGAAGCAGAAGCGGATGATTAAAATGCACCTATTAAAAATATTGCGCCAAGATGTAGGCAACACGTAATAAGGGATCAAAATGGCGGAGTTTTCTATCTCCTTTTAAAATGCACTCAGAAAGCTGCGCAGTGCGACCATTTTCCGTATAGTAAAAGAAAATCAAAGTATGTGATTCTCGCCAAAACTGACTGCTCCACTATTTCTAGTTTAACATATGACGTAAAAGTGTAATGCAAATTTTATTACATCTCAATGTCGATACAAAATTTATTTTTACTTTTATTTTTCATGTGTTTATATTTTTGTTGTAAACTTTAATAAATTTGATTAGAATACACCTTTGAGTCAAACCAATTCAGTACGAGAAAGTAAGACCAATCTTATAATTATTATTGCATTACGATAAGTGAAATTGCGTATTAGCGAAAGTCATCATCGTGTTATAGTTTTTAATCTAATTGAATATTTTCTATAAAAACCAATTTATCCACACAAACATGATGAAGCGTGCTTCGTTGCCTCTTAGTAATGAGAAAGTTTTATCAGCCAATGAAAAATAATAGATTTGACAAATCATCGACAAACAATAAAACTACATGTGCACCAATCAATGCTTGAACCTTGTGGAATACGCTGATAGACTTTACTCTGGTCATAATTATAATATCCTAACCTACCAAGCGATCACAAAGTCAGCTAGCGGTTTTTGAAATTTATTTTTACTTTTAATTTTTAATTCTATAAAATACTTATCTTTTTAATAAATACTGTTAACCATTTTGATAACCGGTTAATAACAAGTATTATGTTTATTTGCTTCCAACCTTTATTGATCTGAATAAAGAAGAATGATTAATTCTTAGAATATATAAATAACAGAGATTTTTTTTTATAATCAAGACTCTAGATATTAAATCAACATTGTTCTTAATAAACTTTTAAAGTATACCTTTTACATTTGTTTTATAAATATTAAGTTACTGAAATTTAAACGCGGGCCATCTAAGCCAAATCTTTTAAGAGACGAGCGTAAGTGGAAATCGTACGTTTGGTGTGCCAGGCACTCCGTAATTATCAGCAGTCTTTGTTTCACTCATGGTCCTATTATGCCTTGTCTAATTCATTGTACAATAGATGCTTTAGATTTCCGTGCCTATATATTGATTAAAAAATAGAGGCATCTCTAGCTGGCTATACTACTTCTTGTATCTGCTAACCTAATATCTGTGATGAACTTCTTAATATACGAATTAAGTGAGATTGGAGTTTGCAGTCTTTTAAAATAGTACTTTATTTGACGCGAGACCATGGCGCGAGCTAAAAAAGTCATCACCTTTCCCCGAAGTCCAATTTCTATTTTTTCGACGGCAACAGTGGCAACTTTTGAATTATGTATTTGTTGATGTCAGCATATGTGGCATACGGTGCCGTGCTTAAATTATTTATTTTTACTGTTAAAAAAAGCTTTGTATTTTTAACATTGAGAACTCGGACAAGTTGAATAGCAGCACTAAATTATACCTGCATTTCGGGTTGGTAAATAATCTCGTAACAATAGAATAATTATTAAGTGCTAGTTACTTATCTTTATGGCATATTAAGAAGGCAAGATGTATTTTACACTCCGAATTGTGTTAATAGAAGAGGGACGTAGTCGCTCTCGACTTAATCTGCGTCAATTCAAATGCATTTAGACGTTATATAGCTAACAATAATCACGTAATCATTCATCATACTGCATATTTTGATTGCCCATTTAAATTTCACAAAAACTATGTACCTACTTACTAGTGATTGCGGATTTCTTTTAACATGTTCATGTATTACATTCCAGATGAAAGAGAGAAAGCAAGACTGGAAATTCATGCGGCGATTAGAGACGCTATCAACCAAGGCGATTCGAATTCTGTCCATCAAATTCTCCAATCTGTACAAAAAGATGCCGAACTTATTGTCAACATGGCCCCAAGCGGGGCAAATACTCTTCTATTCACGTAAGTTTTCATCCAAAAACAAAACCATTCGAATTAACGTATTGAGAGTCGACGTCATATAGAAGTTAACTATTAAATAATGAACTAACGGACAGTATTTTTTTAGAGCTTGCCAAATAGGGAACAAAGAAATAGTTAAAATATTACTAGAAAACGGAGCTGATGCTAGATGTCACCCCGTAACAAAATACTCTCCACTTTATATAGCGTGTTACTGCGGTCATCAAGAAATAGTAGAACTGTTGTTGTTAAGGTTCCCAGAACTTGTACAGGTAAATAAATTGTTCATGTACAAATTTTACATCGAGTTAATTGGGCATTCCAACGACCTGTCAAACAATAGCTGCCAGTTGGAAGGGCTCATATATCTAAGAGGGTTGCGACATAGCCTTCGACCTTGCCGCTATTTTTATTCGAAATAGTAGTCGCCAGCCTGTCAATTTATGACAGGCTTTAGACATACCAACCCTTCCCACCGACAGTTCTTTTGTTTGAAATGCTTAATTAGGCATTCCAAACAAATGAAAGTATTATTTAAAAAAAAACCTATTTATACATTTTCTACAAATTGGCAGGCTACTAATCCAAATAAAAATAGCGTCCAAGATGGGGGATTATATCGCGACCTCCTTAGATTTACGAGCTCTTCGCACTGGTAGCTATTGTTTGACAGGTCGTTGTCAAGTATAATTGTTAATTATTGACATTGACGTGTGACTGTTACTTTTTTTGAAGTTGGCATTCTTGGATTGTAGGTGTTGTTTTTTAAACTAATTTTATTAATTATTTTATTTAATGAGTCATATTATGTTTATTTTCTTTTTATTATTTACTGCATTATGTAATAATTTAGAATTTGTAAAAGAGAAAAAGATTTTTTTATAATATAATAATTGATGTGTAACTATTATTAATTATAATTATGATTTACATCTTACCTCATTACATGGCAGAGCCATGGTATTTATTTGTTTAGTATACCAGGGAAGGGAAATTTCTGCAAACGTCAGAGTTGTTTCTTTCTCAAGTAACACCCTTTTATGTCATTATTATAATAACATACAAAAAAATTAGAGTCACTATAGTTTATTTGAAAATTTTAAATTTAACCACTGTCTCGTCTTCACATTAATCCTTGGGATCAACTACATCCACATATTTTGCATCTGTGAAGTAGTAGGGCCGATGGTGGAAGATTCTCACTGCCACTGTAACGTCTAACAAAATACAATCTATAGATGCGTTTGACATATGTCATTTTGTTTTAGATTCATACTGTGGAAAGATGGCTACCGATCCACGCATGCTGTATAAACGGTCACGTGCCCGTTCTCGAATTGTTATTTCATTTTCCGTATCCGATTCAAGTTCTGAGAAAGTACCGGTAAGGATAAAGCAACTTTTGAGGTTAAGAATTTTGTAACATAGCACTTATCTTTTTTTTTTTTTTAGTGATAAAACCGAACAATGGGAATACTTCTTACCATTTGATGTAAACGAAAGGGACGCTACCGGACAAAATATACTGTACGTTGCTGCTTTGCTGGGAAATAAGAAATTAATAGATGTGATATTGCAATTTAAGGTTAAAGCCAAGAGGATATCCTCTTCAGAAGTGAGTTGTTATAAACATACCGCTCACCGAGAGCAATAGTGACACAACTACAAAATTTCAAAAATCGTAAATGTATCAATCGTTAAATTTACTACCTTCTCTTCAAGCAAGACTGACACAATTTTAGTTAGCATTTTATATTCCACGAGATAGCGAATGTGTCTTAATAAGTTTTGTATTTAGGCTTCACCAATAGTGACACATGATCAGTATGTTAGAGAAGGTTTCGTTGTTTAGGCTATAGTGACACTTTTAAGTTGTATAAGTTTTAGTATTCAAGTGCCAAAAAAAAAATAGTGACACATTTTTAAATATGCCAGTATAGACTGTAGTTAATAAAAAAACTATAATTTAGGGTCTCATCAATACTTATTTATTTATAATTATACACGGGTAATACCCATTTAAAGTTTTACAATATATGAAAATTAAGCTATACAAAAAAAATATATATGGTATATACAATAGTAGTAGTATTTATGCTGACTGCATTTTACATTTAATGGAATATATATGGACGTATTAAAAGAATCCGAAGAATTTTTGTTTCCATTTTCCATTAAGCGGCAAATTGGAGAGAATCTTACATAATTAGTTTTGTGAAAAGGGATGGCAAATAATTCTGTGTTTCTCAAATTACGGGGTGGTACTCGAAAAGAAATCATGGAGAGTAATTCAAGACATTTGATGAAATTATTAAGGGTCTTATATAAGAACTGTTTATCAATTGCATATCTTCGTTTGCCCAATTCTTGAATTTGCATACGTTGTCTTATTTGTGAAACTGACAAATATTCTGATGGGATATGTAATTTAGAAGAAATATATTTCAAAAATCGATTTTGCACTCTTTTTAAAGCCGTTATGTGGTTTTGATACATTGGACACCAAACAACTGCTGTATATTCAAGAATTGGCCGAACTAGGGTGAGATATAAATATTTTAAATTATTCAAGTTGGTGAATTCGTTTGTATGCCTACGAATAAATCCTATCATTTTAAATCCTCTATTTTGAATATATTCATAATGCTTTCTAAAGTCCATCCTACTGCCAATGATCACCCCAAGATCCCGTATAATGTCTACTTTTTCTAAAGGAATTCCCGCAATATTTAAATGTGTATATAGAGCTTGAGTTGTTTCAAGTCTAGAAAACAACAGGTATTTACACTTGTTAATATTAAGAGATGATTGATTGACCTTACACCAATCATGTAATTTATCGAAATCATTTTGAACTTTAAGAAAATCTTGAGAGATTGCTAACAGCAGAGTAGAGTCTAAGGTCGTCTGCCAATAGTAAAAATTTACAAATACTTTGGCAATATCATTGATAAATATATTAAATAACAAAGGACCTAAATAGCTTCCTTGAGGTACGCCAGAGAAAATTTGAATTTGTTAAGACGTACTCCTATTTATTTTTACTACTTGCGACCTATTTGTTAAATATGACGACAACTATTTCAACAATTTTCCATGGATTCCAACTGCTTGTAGTTTATTACATAAAATGACATGATTGATACTGTTGAATGCCTTGGAAAAATCAGTATATACTTCAAAAACTTGATGTTTAGTTTCTAAGGTATCTAACACGTCCTGTACAAAAAGAAGAAAATTAGTAAATGTTTATCTTCCTTGGCAGAATCCATGTTGCTGAGGAATAATAATTTGTACTACTTTACTATTAATTTTGTTGTTAATAATATGCTCAAATAATTTAGTGGTATATCATATCAAATTCAAGTTAAAAAAAATCGAACCAACTATGAAATTAAAATCTAAAAATAATTTATAATCGATGTCAAACTTCAAATTCCTATTTATACTCATTCATTTTAATAAAATTTAAATCAACAAAACTTCTAAACTCAATTTTCTTCAACAATACTATTTTTGAGATGTTCCGTTATTACTGTCGATATATCACACCGGAGCTATTGCGATGTTTATTTGAATATCTTTAATGATTTAAAATTATAGGATGATGTTGTTACTCCCAGTTCCGAAACAGCCACTGTAAGGAGTCCTACGAGGAGAAGAATTTCAGATGGGATCATATCAATTATGTCGAAATTGAATTTTTCCAGAGAAAATTCGTCTGAAAATTCCGATGTATGTTACACGATAAATCTATTTAATTTATTTTGTAAAATGTTTTTATTATTATTTTTTTAAGAATGATCCTAACACCAAGATGATTTGTCCGTTGAGGATCGATACGTATTGTAACAATAACACAGAGACTGCTCTGCACGCAGCTGTCAAGGGCAAACATTATGATATAGCTTGTGTTCTTTTGAAAAACGGCGCTAATTCTAACGCTGTCATCAAGGCTTATCATGACATTAATGAGGTAAGTACAGTTTATTCATCTAAACTCGATATCTGTGGCGATCATGAATTAAGAATTGAGTTTGTTATGTTTATATTTATGAACAGTTGTATTAAAAATATTTGTAACCTTATTAAAACATTGCATTTTTTCGTATTACTCTGCCTAATTTGGGCCTTTTACGACCTCTATTTTTTCCATAACTTGTCTTTCTATTTTCTTCCTTAATTTTCATCTCCATCTCTTTTATTTTCTCCTCCATAGAAGACATCAGAAGAAACTTTATATTCTAAGGAAGAAATATCAAAAGCAATTTCATTTTTCAAAGAATAACTATGAGAAGAAACTTTATTTTTTAAGGAAGAAATATTAGAATAAACTCATTTTCTAAGGAAGAGATATCTGAAGAAATTTCATTTATCACGGAAGGCATATTGGTAAAACATCACCTTAAGTAATTTTAACGGCTGAAAGCCAATTTGTTCAATTCTTCGTTATTCCTTATAGCCAATTTGAAATGCATACGAGTCTTCTTATTATCTCAAATTACGTTACCAGCCATTCCATTACGGCTGCTACATATACAGGTGCACCAACTCCTACTCTTTCTGCATAATTTCCTTTTTTCAACAAATGTAAATTGAAAAATTAGCATAGGTGTTTCTCAAGAAATTAAAAATTTAAATAAATATTTTCTTTTTATTTTCCCTTTTCCTTTACTTGATTATTTTAGCACGGATTGGAAAAAAGCTCTGATTTTAAAAATTTCAGACGCTGACTTGTTGTTCGGTAGAAGACGATAATAATTTTGGTCAGTCTACGGCTCTTGTGGAGGCCTGTAGAAACAGGGACGTTCCTATTGTGGATTTGTTACTCAAAAATGGTGCCAGAGATGACGAATGTAAAGCTCTGGCCGTCGCTGTGAACAATAACGATGAAACGCTTACCGCCAAACTCTTATCGACAAAGGTAAGTTTTGTATTTGTGTATCAATAAAGCAATAAAATTTATGTGAAACTTTATTCTCTTTTGACAGATTCTTTTAATTCATAAACAATGACAACTAACATAATAATAACGATAAAACAGAAACATACATAGGTTGTGGGTTTGGTTCCATGCTCTATGTCAAGTGTGACAACTCACACTCTTTGAACGCGTTAAATAATTAATTCCCTGGTACCAATCTCAGTCTAGTCATATTCTTTCAGACATACACAAGAGCCACCGTTTATATTCATTAACACGTTAATTGCCACATGTGAGTCTCTATTTGCTCGGACCGTAGGAGTCGTACTGGCCATATAATGTTAATGCATTTGCAGTATTTCTTCCGTAATATCATAATAATGGATTATTCAGTCAGACCTTTTTTTTTAATTTAAACAAACTGGAACTGGATGGCGGAATCTTTATTATAACCTGAAAGAACAATAATTTTTTTTTGAAAATAATTTCATTTAAATGCTGGCCGCGACTACGCCGTACGTAGTCCATTCGGAAGGTCCAACTTTCGATCACTCTTTCTAGCATTGCGACCGGTGTCTGCCCAATTACGCGAGTAATGTTGGCTTCTAAGTCCTGAATCGTAGCTGGCTTACCGACCAAGTCTTCTAATTTAACATGACCCCAAAGAAAAAAGTTCAAGGACGTAATATCATACGATCTAGGCACCCAGTTGACAGGTTCAAAACGCGAAATTATCTGCTCACCAAAATGATTTCTCAATATAGCTATTGTTTTGCGGGATGTGTGTGTCGTAACTCCGTGTTGCTGAAACCAAATGTCGCTGACATCACGGGCTACAATTTCAGGCAACAAAAAGTTTCTTATTATGGTGCGATAACGCTCGCCATTGAGGGTAACGTTCTGTCCGGCCTCATTTTTAAAAAATAGGAACCGATGCATCAGCCCATAAACCATACCAAACAGTACATTTTTGTGGATGCAACGGTAGATCCTCATTACGAGCTGGATGTATCATCGTACACTAACCCTCAAATTTGCGGATGATATTGGCAATAGTGGTCTCGAAAGATCAATGATCAACACCATACGTTGTTCGAAGTGCACGAAAAACATTTCTCACAGAACGCTGATTTTCGTAATACAACTGAACAATTTGGAGACGCTGTTGCGGTGTAAGTTTGTCCATGATGAATTGTCAAGCAATACTGAACAAAATTTCGATGCCAGTATGAGACCAGTGACGAGGAACGTAAAGAAAAAACCATATGAAAAAAAAGAAGGTCTAAATGAATCACCCATTATAATAACTTTATTGAAGAAATATATACATACAAACGAATAAAAAAGATAAATGGGTCGAATAATAAACAAAAACGATAGGTTTTCGGAACTTTAAAAACGATTCTCTCAGTATGTATTTGCGTTGTTACGTATATTGAAAACTTAATACATTTAGACTATGAAGACTAAAGAGAAGGAGGCGAATCGGCAATGGTCAAATTTCCGTCCTTCTTTTTATAAAGTTCGCGAAAATGACTGTAGTTGGCATGTCTAATGACAGCGGAGTCAATTTTCTATGCAAGTCAATGTAAAATGAAGTGACTTTAAAAAAATTGGTGAAAAGAATCAAAATAATGTGAAAAAAAGTATCGGAGTACAAGTAACATGAATGACAAAAAACATCAAAGTAAGATTTACGTCGTTCCAGATTGTAAAACAGGATAAAAATCAAATGTAAAACTAAAGAAAACACAAGTAGAAATCAATTCAATGTCTTTAAAGCTTTTAATGTAAGTAAAATTATGTATTCATGTCTAAATATATTTATTGTAAACTAGTCACAATATGTATCTTATACGAAGAGTAGTTTATTTTATTACAAGTTTCTATAATATAAAATTTTACAGTTATAGATGCTGACTTACAAACAATAATTATGCATTAAATTTAACTTACTAGAAAAGAAAATTTATTTTTTATAGAGTTTTAATATTAGATAAAAAGTTGCTACTGTTATTTTTTTTTTGACCCCAATTGTGTCATTGTAAATGTTTTTTATAGGATACTAAACGTTAAAAACAGTGGCAGCATATACAGAGTGGCCCAAAAGTCTGGAAACGGCCAATTATCTCGTAAATTGCTAGTACTAATTGTACAAAATTTGGGGGGTACACCTATTTTGGGATACGGAGATTCCAGATTTGATATTTGCAATGTTGCCAGATTTTCCGTTTCTCTTATATTATTAGTCACTTTGGTTTTTCAAATTGATCACCCTGTATGTTAAGTCATTATTGAAATCTCCTATTCAATACGAGTTCAACCATATGTAACACTTATGATTTTATGTAGTCTAGCAGGTCTTAAATAAATAAAACAGAAGTCTGGCAATGCCTAATTGTCTCATAAATTTTTTAATACAAACTATTTTCAACTACATTAAAACGTAACAATTGAAAGATTACACCATTTTTAACATAATGGTTACTTTACCAAGTGTTCAAAATGTGCTTCATTTGTGAGTTGACAGTACCCTAATCGATGATAGAGTGCATTTACCACATTTCTCCATGATTCTTTTATTTATTTAAGACCTTCCAGACTACATAAAATCATAAGTGTTGCATATGGTTGAACTCGTATTGAATAGGAGATTCCAATAATGTCTTAATATACAGGGTGATCAATTTGAAAAACCAAAGTGACTAATAATATAAGATAAACGGAAAATCTGGCAACATTGCAAATATCAAATCTGGAATCTCCGTGTCCCAAAATAGGTGTACCCCAAATTTTGTACAATTAGGACTAGCAATTTACGAGATAATTGGCCGTTTCCAGACTTTTGGGCCACTCCGTATATCGTTCCTAGTGCCGATAAAGCACTTTCTGAGATGATGCTGTTCTATACTTTTTAGAAGATATTATCAAATATGAGACTATTTTTACTGATGGTACTGTTAGCAAAATAAAAAGGGGAAAGCTGAAATTAAAGGATGAAGTATTACCATGTACATTCCCAAATCTCCCTTTATACTTATATTACAACAATCAAAAATCTGTTAACTGTGTTTTATTTTAATCTTAAAACTATACGAGTATATTGCTTCAATTCAAAATAAATTTTGCCACAAAATTGTACTTATCAAATTTCAGCATTTAAGAAACCTTTTCGAATTTGGTTATACATACCTAATTTGTATTTTATATAGATAAAATTAAATAATTTATCAAATAAAACATGCAAGACTTATTTAGAAATACATACAACAGTATGTTCTGTGCTTTATTTAGCTATAAACAAGTTTAAATTTATTATTTTGTCAAAATTATGTATAATTCCCAAAAGAAGCCATGTATTTTGAATACCGTATGCAGTACTAGCGCCCATGCGGTTAATTATAAAAGCTCAGCGTGCGTTTTTGGGACCGTATTTTGAGTATGCCGATTTGTCTCTAGTCTTCATAATTTAGACGACCTGGAGCCCAATTCCTGAATCTGTGCGCAGAACGACGCATTCGGTTAGCGACGCATGGTCGCCATCGCTTGCGACGGAAAATTTGTATTCTTGACTACCCTTTGTTAAGGTAGTTTCGTGTCGCATGGTGTAACGACTCTTTGATTATTACAGCAGTTCAATCGTTTTCAACCAATCAAATTTCAGAACATTATAACAAAAGCTGCATTATCGGCTAAAAAAATGTCAAAAAAATTAACATGTGTGAGTGTCAAATTAGTAGTTTCTATTAGGCATTCCAACGACCTGTCCAAATGGGTACCAGTGGGGACTGACAGTTTAGATATGGCAACCCTGTTGTCATGTTGTCATTAACATATATAGGGGTCTATTCTGTAACAATTCCTTTATATTTAACGGCCTTTAAAAATATTGGCGGCCTTTTAAAATGTTTTCGTATTCGTTAATTTACTTCTGTCATTGCTTAAACAGATTTCTTTAAGATAGTCCTCTAATGTATTTTAAAGATACGTTTAAATAATGACAGAAGTAAAGAGGAAAATATTTTTAAAGTCTGTTAAATATAAAGGAATTGTTACAGAATAGACCCCATAGTTAGTTATATAGATTGCTTAAAGCTGGTCGTTTGCGAGCGACCATATCGCCTGGCAAATATTTAATTTGAATCGGTTTAGCAAAAATGTGTTTTAAAACCAAGGCATAAGCTTCTGTTTATTTTGAAAAATATGGATGATCAATCTATGTAACTGTCTATTTCATTCACCTTGTCATATCACCAGGGTTGCCATAATTTTGCCATATCCTGTCAAAACCCACTGGTAGCCATTCAGTTAATTTGGAATGCCTAATTATTATTAAAATAAATTTGAGTAGGTATTTGGAAATAGAGATTCAGAATGAACAGAAAACTTTAAAATTAGCAAAATATTTTTATGAACTGTCTATCTGGTAACAAAAATGGATTCTACCGCTCGGTGTAATTGAGAGGTCGTAGTTCTGCATCTAAAGGTGCCTCTTAAATATTTTCTATTAATTGTATAAGGTCAAATTTATCATTATCGTCCATTTTATATGAAATGTATACTTGTAAATACAATAACTAAGTAAAGCTAATGACTAATGAACACTTGGTAATTATAAAAAATTCATTAAGGGCCGATCTTTTCACCTCTCAGTAAAGTTGCATGTAGTTTTACTTGACAGATTAACAAACAATAGCCCAACAGCCCTATAGTTTAATCAGCAAGTACTTACTTTCAACTTTACTCAGAGGGGACAAGATCGGACCTAAAAAAATAAACTAGGAAGAATAATAATTATATTTTATATTAAAACTATGTGACAATGACAAGTAACATGCTTGGATACCCATAGTTACCGTATGCGAGATAAAGTTGTCGAATGGTCAAGACCGTTCGTTGCAAATCATTTACCAAGCGTAGCATGAGGGATCGCTAGCATATGGCAAAGGCTTCAAAGAATACCATTGTTCTACTGGAATACGTCACTACATGCGAGACGATGACGAACTCCGTCAGGAATTAGGCCCCTGAGGAAGTGTCTGCATGCGGTTGCATGTTTCCTTAGACGATGCTATACAGTAGTCTTGACAATTCGGAAATCTCTGACCGTGTCAGCGATAGCTTAATTGGAAGAGCGGCTGTGCGTAGAACAGGAGTAGGTGGATTCGAATCACCTTGCAGGCAGATTTTTTTCAATTTTTCATTAAATTTGTTTTCTCTTTGGGAGTTCAAAAATAATTTTCGTTATTTCGTAGGGGTAATATTGGATTTGTTTGGGAATTTCTTCTTAGGAATTTAATATATTTGTTTTTAACGAATTATTTTAACTATACCCATACTAGAGTGACTGAGATAGATTTACAAGTTGGAGAGTGTTGTATTTAAATTACTTAAAAAAATTTTAAGGGCGAGACAACTATATTCTGCGCGCGTAAATAATAGTAAATATGTTGCAGTTGTGCCAAGGATATTTTTCTTGGAACTCGAAATCCGTTAAACTGCATTCTTGGTCTGCAAGGGTTGGCTTTGATTTATGTGAGATTTTCAAATTCTGTAATGCAATGTACAGATTAGATAATAAAATATATTGTGGTTCTTATGTTTACCCTGCATTATTTATACGAGGTGGATCATAAAGATAGTAACTGAAGTATGTGAACAACAGTTGCATACGCTATTTTTTTAAGAAAACCAAGAAGCAATACTACAATTTGACATAGTTTTATTTTTCTAATAGTTTTAACACCTGAAAACATTAGGTGTTTCTTATTTTTTATGCCCACAATAGCTGCTAACTGTGGCACTAAATAGTAAATATTTTTTTTTACTTTCTTAGAAAAAATGTTTTAATTTACTACACTACACAAAATTATAGTTTATGAATACACGATTTAAAAATAAACAAATACTAACTTCTACATTACTTACAAAAAATTATAATTGAGGTTATGGTACAAGTAATATAATAGTATTTGTCGCACTGGACACATTTCCAATCGTTGTAGAGTACTTTTGGCTAATACGAGTGCAATTAACAACAAGAGATACGTTTATGATTTGAATCATGTACGTTTCATGGTTTGACTGTTGATCTTTCTCATTATTTTAAGTTTTTGCATGTGTAATAAGTCAGTTGTTTCGCGTGATCCCAACAGATCCAAACAATTTTTTGTGTTGTGGCGATTAATGTGTTAATGAGGATGGTTATTATTTACAGGGTTTTCCTCTGTATTTGATACATTTTAGAAGTCATTATCTACGAACTCATTACATATATATTTAGAAACCGACAAATAAATTTGATACTAATACGTAAAATACCCTGTATAAAAATATTTAAATAACTGAAATCAAAGTATAGTAAAGATAATAATCAGTAGTGCCATTTTCAAGCGGTACCTTTGATCTGTACTCTGTACGGGTCACGGTTTTTCACAAGGAGGCGACGCCATTTTACTAGGATCGTTCGCAGATCTGGGTTCGCAATTTTTAATGTAACGACAGATCCTGATTTATATTATCTTAAAATTTATGTTAATTTATAATAATACTCAGGTACCTTTCAATATCCTTAGGCAGACAAAAGAATTTTGATTACTCCTTCCTGAGTGTACAATAATGTATTTTGTTTAATTCAAATCTAAAAAAACATAATGAAACTGGAAAGAAAAATTACTTAGCAATAAGGCCCATAATTATAAGCCGATCTCTCAGCTGAGTCGTCCTTGAACGAAAATAGAAGTTCGGTTATAACTTCTCTAGAGATGGACAGTAGCAAATCCGTAACTGTTAAGTATATTTACGGATTTGTTGCTACCCATCTCTATATTTACGCGGTATAACCGAACGTCCATTTTAGTTCAAGGACGACTCGGTGGAGTCGAACTCATCTAAGCGGCTATCCTCGACAATCGCTAAAAAAACGAACAGTTTTCGAAAGTGAATGGTTGAAAAGCGAGTAGTTTTTGAAATCTATATTCTTGACTTGCGTTCAATGAGCCTTCGTTTTTTAAAACGTTTACGTTTTTAACAAGCAAATATATGTCTGGCATCACTGTAAACTGTCTATATCGTTGAATTCTAGTTATGTGTAGGCCATTAAAAATAAGGATTATGTAATTTAATTGCAAGAAACCAATTGTAAATTTATCGAATGATGATTTTCCAATCACAATTCACAAATGTTCAGGATAAACTGAATCATTAATTTTTGGCTAAAAAATAGCTATACGGGTGCAGTCAATGCAACCTATAATTCCAGGAAAATCGTATGTCATAAAAAACTTAGAACTACCACTTGCAAGAAACCGCAAGCAAATTAATATCTGTAAATAAAACATACATTAATTAATAATTAAATTCTTACACGGTTAGATATAAAAAATATTCATTCAATATCCATTTAATTCAAAAAGTGATGAGGATTCTTGTCTTTCAAGTTTTCTAATTGTACAATTAATAATAATTGAAAGAAATTCTCAGCTATTAGATTTTTAAGTACTGCAAACCATAATTATAAAAAATTAGATACTTTTGTAGGTATTAGTAAAAAGTAGTTTACCTAGAATTTGTTAAAATCAATCAATATTATTAATAATCCTAAAAGTAACATATAAGGGACATTGGCTAAATCCTTGAAAACATGCACGTTTTATCAAAAACGTGTGAAAAATTCCACTCGATGTAAAACACTCGTTTTAAAAAAGTATACGCTTTTAAAACGAATTTCGAGAATAGCGAATAGCTCGCATGTTGCTAAAGCGTATACGTATACTCAACTAACAATTGTCTGAATACAACACTAGCAACATACTTTTGTAAAAAGAATAGGCAATCACAGCAAATCGCTTGACAACTTGTAAATTGATCCTTAGAAAATGGCGACGCCTTCGACGAATTCTGATGCGTGAACATTGCGAAAAATTTTAGTCGTTATATTGATTATTCTATATATTGTGCTAAAATAACTTCTCTTCCAGGCTCACCCTGATCCAGAATACAAAATAAACAAGAAGGCTATGACTGAAAACGTCAATTCGTCCCAGTTTACGATCTTTTCTAACGTAACTAACTTAACTTATTCCTCGTTATTTCCAAATACTCCCACTATGATCAATTGGCACAATCAAAAGTGCAATTTGACGCAAATCAAAACGCAATGGTTGATCGACGCGGCGCTCCATATCAACCCGAAGTTGAAACAAAATCCAAGAAATTTTGATATTTCTTTATATGCCATCACGAGGTTGGATCTGTCTAATAATAATCTGACTTGCGTGCCGTTGGCCGTATTTAGGCTGTTTAGTTTAAGGTAAGTCAATTATATATACAAAGTCGTCCTTAAGAAATTGTACATAGAAGTATGGTAGATTCCACCCTGTATATATTTGATATTAACATACCTTCTCCTTTTTTGTTCTTAATTGGGTAAAAGATTTTCAAACATTTCTTCTGAAATAATATAAAGTGTAAAAATTAAAATAATTATAGTCAATTATTATTTTCAATGAAAAATTATTGCAATGGCCCGTGAATATCATTTTGGTCATCCCCCTTAAATATCTTGTCAATATTGAAGAAGGCCCATTGGCCTATTTTATTGTTTAAAATTTCACATAATTGTAACCTTGAGAAAATACGCTTACGAATAGCGTCCACACCTTCGGTTACTCGGGCGCCAGATTATTTGAACTGCTTTACTCCACTCTTGGTACCACGTTAAAAGTATTCGGGCAGCTTCAGATAGAGATGAATAATTCCAAAATTACAAAACGTACCAAATTGTTTTTGTTAAAAGATTCAAGGTGTTGTTTTATAAATACCCTTAACGATTACCAGGTTTCTTTGCAGTTCTAAGGGGATAATTTAAACTTGACTTGACTAGATTATTTAAAAAAAAGCAATTTAGAACACTTTTTAATTTGAAATTTTAATAATAAAACAGTGCAAGGGATTCCCTCTTTCAATATTGAAATGATATTGAGGTATAGTAAATTGTTTACAATCATTCGATGGAGCCACAGATACTTAGGAGGAGAATTAAAAATGTTAATTACAACACCCTGTATGTTTAATATCCTTAGCAACCAATTAATGACAGTTGGACTTAAAATTATACAAATAAACAAAAGTTCCTTGGTAATGTCGTTCACAGTTTTTATTTAAGGAGCAGTCATATAGTTCGGATTTATTACCATCTTCTGGTGCAGTGAATTATTAAAATTTTTAAAAAACAAAAAAATTAGTCCAGTAAATGAAGGACTGAAAAGATCGAAAGCTGTAAAAAATCGCTGATGAGTTCCCACGTAGCTCAATTTGTTGGTCATCGCAGATGTTTTTAAATGAGAAAATCCTTAACGCGTTCTTGGTACCGGAAGGGGCTGAAAATGGACCCCTAAACTCTGAAAAACGGGTTTCCCGCTAATATCTGGCTAAATATGCCAATTAGAGAATTTTTGTTCAGACAAAAAATGAAGATCAGCTCATTCTCTACAAAAATGATCCCTACCAATTTTTTCGCAATGCCAATATTTTTGCAAAATCAGACTTCGAAAAATCCATAATTTTCCTATTGAATAGATATGGTAGTTTCTTGCCGAATTTCCGCTCGATGGGGTTGGAAATGCATTGATATTCATCTTTTGGACTTTAGAGACCAATTGCGGATGGCGCCAGCACCTTCGCTCTTCTCGCTAAATTACGGAGTCCGTAAATGAAAATCTCGGAAATAATCGATTATTCGACAATTATTGGCGGATTTCACCTGATTTTTTCTGCAAAGTAGCGCTTGGGCTCTCTCAATTGTAGTAGCGAATGTTCTGTGCAATTTGAGTTGCAAATTTACCAGAAAATTGCAAAAATTTATTTTTCCTTGTGCCAAGGGCTTGAATCCCGTTGTTTTGGCTAAAAGCAAAAAAACTTTTAGAACGTGGTGAATATTCACAATACAACCATTCTAAACATTTTTCGCATTTTTGTGATTTTTTTGCAAACTTTTTTCAGAATAATATGGGTGCAGGATTTCGGAAAAAATACGCAAGTTTTTGAAAAATTACATTTATTTTGAAGAATTGGTTGGATATAAAACATACATAACAACCTTTAGGGTGTGGTCAACCACTCCAAGTCATCAGAATCATATACATATTCTTCATCGTCAACAGTATTCTCATCGCCTACTCCCTCTTGCTCCATTTCTACCCTTCCCCCTGTCGTCCTTTCTCTCTCTTCCTCCAGCTGTATTTCTGCCTCCTCCCTTTGCAACCCTTCTGTCTTTTCTTCCACCCCTATTTCTACTTCCACCTCTAATTCTTCCGGGAATATACCTTCATTTCTTTTATAATTTGAACATTGTGTCAACTGACACGAACCACATATGGACGAGCATTTCAGAACTGCTTTTAAACATGAACAATTCTTCTCCAGCCTCTCTTACACTGACAAAAAATCATCTTCAAGAGTTCCGGTGGGGCCGGATCATGTGTGGTTTGGACCGGTAATAGCATTTCCCCTGCACGTTTCCAGCCCCATTCCTCTGGTGACAGTTCATTCCCCAGCCAATTCTGTACTTGTAAATATACCCTATAAAAGTGCTGCCTAGCAGCTTCAACGGTAGGGGGCAAGCATTCTAGTTTTATTGCAGTTTTTAAAGTTGAGGCAAAATAAAACAAACCTTATTTTCTGCTTCCAACAAAAAAATTCTTGAATATTCTTTCTTGTAGACAAGAATAACGTGGAAATTTCTCACTTTAAACACTTCTTTTTTTTTATAACTGAATTAATTTAATGAAAATTATTTATTTTATTTTAAATAAATAATTCAAAATAAATTATGAAAAAATATCATCAGTACATCAATAATCCGGTCAAGCCGACGACTCCAAAACAGAGATTGTATACAAACATGCAGACAACTATCGCCGCGTGGGTACACGAGGTTAGGTTACAATATCATGGATCTCAGAAGGGGAGCGTAAAAATGAAGTATATAATTGTAACAACCTTTTTAGAACCAAGAACGGATATGGGGATTGACTTATATCAATGGAAAGGTCAGAATACAAGCTTTCCTTTATTAATCCTCAAAAAATAAAGAGCGGGGAACAAGAAATGGTTAAACAGAAAAAGGCTGGTTTTCACTTGTGTGATCAATTTTCCTTATTTCTTGAAAATTATTAGACTCTATTAAAAATAAAAAAATATATTCGAAAAGTAGGCCAACTAAGCTTTAAAATGATGTGCATTGAAAATCAATATAACGGATCATAAGATTATAATTCGCGCTTGTTCCGAAGATTCTATGGAACTCCGAAATCGGCTAAAACATGTAAATAAACAAATCAATTTTGTATTAAAACGCAAGAAAAGTATTACAAAAAAATTTCTGAGATCATTCAAGACCCCCCAAAGTCCCATTATAAAGGCAAAATTAGAATAAATGACTATTTTTAAAGAAAACATGAATAAATTAATGAAGATGTCTCTAAATATTGTTGAAAAAAACTGACCGCTTTTTTTTAAATATTTTTGGCAAATACGAACTGACTTTAAGTCACATGGAATTGTAGCTACGGGTTTTCTCATTGCGATGAACTTTGAATCATCGAAAAATATCAATTTTTTCCCGAGATATGGAACAATTCGTCCGCCCGCTTACACGTTAATTTATAGAAAGTGGAATTCCTGCAGGTAGAGCAGCAGCTGAAATGAGGGGACTTTTGAGTGCTATTACCTCGAAAACTATTGAATTTTCGAAGAAAATGAAAAGAGCCATTTTTGTAGATAATGAGCCAATCTTCATTTTTTGTCTGAACAAAAATTCTCTAATTGGCATATTCTGTCAGATATTAGCGGGAAACCCATTTTTCAGGTTTTAGGGGTCCATTTTCAGCCTGTTCCGGTACCAAGAACGCGTTAAGGATTTTCTCGTTTAAAAACACCTGCGATGACCTACAAATTGCGCTATGTGGGAACTCATCAGCGAATTTTCTACAGGTTTGACCCTTCAGTTACTAGACTAAATGTGGTTTCGCTGGTTTTAAAATGTTTAAATTGTTGGTTATTTGCCCCTCAATGTTAAAAAAAAAATAAATATTGCCTGCATCAGAAGATGGAAATATATAGTACTCCAATATTACCAAGGAACTTTTATTTATTTGCATTAAATTCTTCTATGATTAGCAAATTACCTTTATTCAAAAAATATTTCATTCACTTTCGACAGTTTCAAGTACATATTTACAGAACAATTTTTACATTATCTTGAATAATTGACTCATTTTTAAATTCTTTGACTGATAATAAATTATCCATTGTAAAAAGATATTCTAAAAATCGTACGTTTATCTTTCACTTATTTAAAACTTCTTTACATATCAAGTTTTACATCCCTTCCGAATACATTTTTAAGTTTTCAAACCGTTGATTCAATACATTTGTAAGTTTTTCGGAACTTTGCATTACAGATTCCTGAGTCTGGCTCAAAACAAAATCGAAAAACTGCCAATACCGATGAGTTCGCCCGTCAAAAAGAGCGCCAGAAAAAAACATATCAACCTCGACGAACTAACCTACTGTTGTCCCGTTTTGGAGGAACTCTACCTCCAAGACAACCGGCTGGATCACGTCCCAGACGCCATTTTTAAGTTACCATCTCTAATAACCTTGGTGGTGTCGAATAACAAACTTCAGCAATTGCCGTATGGAGTTTGGCTAGCACCAAAGCTCAAAGAGTTGAATGCGGCTTTCAATTTGATCAGAGAATTACCCGCGTTCCCCGCAGAGGTAATATAAGAAAATGTCTTTTCCGCTAAAAATCCTTACCTCTTTTTTTCTGATTCCGAGTAGTTGTATTACAAGACGATATAATACAACAATCTTGGACTTTACATTAACTCACCAATTCTACTTACTTTCGTTTTCCTACCTTACCACTCTCCTACCCAACTCAATTTTATTTTACTTATTCTGTTTATTACGCTCTCTACTTTTGTAATTTTTCTCTCGTATAGAGTAAAGAAGATTTGGATAAAATGAGTGTAAGTTCGAGCGATAGTCAACTGTCTTATCACGGGGAGCAAGATTCCGAGTCGGAATTATCAGATTTCGATTTGGAAACCAAATTGAATCTGAAAGAAGATGGCGTGCACGCTATACGATACAGGAAAAAGGAAAGATCTTACGTGTAAGTCAAATTGTAGTAAACATTTCCATATTATGCGAAAATTCCCACAGGTTGGCAACACTGGTAACAGAGCTGGGGAGGATTCGAATCACATAGGATTCGAATCCAGGATTCGAATCCTTTTTGAGGATCCGAGAGCGGGATTCGAATACTTTAGAAAAAAAGGATCCGTGATCCGGATTCGCAGAGAAAATCCTAAAGGATTCGTATTCGAATCATCAATATCAGTCTCGGATCCTTTTAGAGACCAAACTACGCCGGCGCGCAAAAGGTATGCTGACATACTGTCGCTTAATTGTAAAGAAGCCGTAATTGCAGCCGTTTTAATTCCCCAATTTAAATTCAGATGGTATAATATCGTAAAATGTCCTACTTATACTAAAGAGGAGATAAAAAAGTTTATTATAGACGAAGCTAGAGATTTGGACGAGTCAAACTCTGATGTATTATCAGATGAGAGTGACACAACAAATTTAGATCAATTCTTTGATTTTAGTGAAGACAAGGTACAGCCAATGTCAAATAACAATAGCGAAATGGCAAGAAACTCCTATTCATTATCAGCACCTAAAAATAAAACAACTTCAAAAATCGAATTAAAGCTGTTGAGATATTTAGAAGATAAACGTAGTAATTTACAAATGATGAATGAATATCCAACATTAAATTTTTTTTATAAAATTTAATACTTGTCTTCCTTCGTCTGGTGCAGTCGAACGATTATTTTCGTTTGCAGGTATAATCGACGCACCTCGAAGGAACGGCTTGACAGATGAAAATTTTGCTATGTAAGGCCAACCAAAAGAAATTTTTTGAAAAACTATAAAAAATTTTTAATTTTATTTGATTCTGTTTGTTTATTATTTTGTTTTGTGTATTAAAATAAAATGTATTTTTTTATAGATTCTAATTTATTTATGGTTTATATTCATAGGGGGCTAGAGTCAGGACTTTCAGATCCATGGATCCCAGGTTTGAATTTTGTCAGTGATGGAATTTTTTCTATTAAATAAAAACAAATTCTAATGCATAAGTAGGATTCCCCAATCGACTCTGTTGGATTCTAATTAACAGTGCTGCTCATATAGTGGCACTGAGAATCATTAATAAAGCCTGCATAGATCAAACATAAAATTCAAAACAAACTGACACTGGCTACTTGGGTAGAATCCACCAAAGCCATTACACCGAAAAAATAAAATGGTTTATAATAATAATAATTAATAATAATAATAATAATAATAATAATAATTTATTCACTTTAAAAATCGAATTACAATTTTAACTCATATTTAACAGAAACTGGTAACACTAAAGGCGAATCTTGTACGTGGGACTTATAGAAATATATTCTACATAGCATTTCTTTTTTTTACTATTTTTTTTAATTTATTATAGATACAAATTAGCTACAGCATTGAATATTTTATAAATAATTATCATATACACAAATAATTGGATAATTGCAAATAAGTAAAGTTCTTTTTAGTTAAATGATTTTAGATTTTAGTTATATTTAAATTAATAAAATCTTAAAATATTTGTCCTTGTTTAGTTAATATCCATTGTTGCAATTTAGATCTATAAAGACCTATCGAATTTAGGTTTTTAAATTCCACCGGAAGTGCGTTAAATATTTTAGGACCGAGATATAAAACAGCATTAGATTCGAAAGAAAATATAATTAGTGCTACAGTATAACACTGACAGTGATTCGTATCCGTGATCCGAAAAAAAGGATTCGAATCACGTGATTCGAATCCTTTTTTTTTTTTACGAAAAAAGATTCGAACATTGGATCCGTGATTCGTATCACATCTCGTGATTCGAATCCATTTTTCGAGGATTCGTCCCAGCTCTGACTGGTAATAAAGGTTTATCACATGTTTACCTGCCGCCCTTCTGAGTTGGGCCTTCCAAGTGTTGCCAGATCGAATACTACGTTGCCAGTCTCATTAGGTTTGTTCCAACTTGGTGTTTGGTACCGTTCTTGTATCATATCAAAATCAGGACAGGGATTCTTATGTACATACTCAACACGTAACGAATTAAATAGAGAGAGAGACATTATATACGAATCGCATTCTGTGGAATGAAGATAGTCTTCTCAACACGTCCCGAATTGAAAGATGAGCATCCTAATGCAGTTCATGAACGATGTACTGCGCAAGCGTATCTCTGAATGGTTTTGGAATCGGAAATGAGGTGGAACGCTTTTAAAACTGTTCATGGTACATAAATAGAGAAAATAAAATTCTAACCAAACTCTTCGAAAAGAAAATAAAATAGTTTTCTGTTTTATAAGTATGGATCTTAATGATTTTTTATTATATCATTCTATATTCTTGAACACAATGGAAAAGAATGGTAAATAATGAATATATTATGTGCAAATAGTTTTTGTTTTTCATTCTTTCTTGATTTACCATTAATTCTAAAACATCGTCACTAGTATTATCATCAAAAAAATTACTGTCTCCTTCTATATCGCTCATTTTCCAAATAAATATGATTTATAAACAGTATTTTCTAAATAAAAATGTATTTTTCGTTCTTATCTACCTATAAAAATATCAAAACGCTGTAAATTTGTAGGTTAAGTTAATTAAAACTAATCTCTATCAACATACGAGTATATCGATCGCTTTGCGCAAGTTAGGTCTAACAGTTCCACAAAAATTTGTGAATCGATATGACGGTACAGAAACGATTCCGGAATCATCATTTTTTTTGGTTGAAACGAATTCTGTACATCGTACAAATTAAGTTGGAACGCTTGAAGTGTAATACGCATGCGCTGTACAGTTACTGAATGGTTATGTATCAAGTTGGAACAAACCGATTACTTAATTTACACACCTCGGATAAATTGTATACACTTTATTTTATGAGTAGAGTGATAGATGTTGATACTTATAAAATAAAGTTGTACACAAAAATTGGCTTGTTGACGTTTTTTCGCCACAGTCCCCGAAATTGTTATTTAATATACCCCATCCTTAAACTATCATTGACATGTAAACCTCTCGATCTTAATAGCGCGGTTTGATAGCAAAGCAACTGCCATTTGCCCTCATTTGAATGTTTAAAAGCCTACTTTGGATGTCAATTGTAGAAAACATATTTTACAGTCAAATGGATCTAGCCAAACACCATATCTGGAATAAGAGTGTAGAGGTAACGGAACAAATTCTCCACAATGAGGACTCATCGACGGAGCCCTCCTCGCAACTCTCCTCCCTTAATCTGGCTCACAATCTCTTCACCAGCATTCCCGCAGTGCTGCCCTGTTTAGCTGTTAATTTGACGCGTCTCAACATGGCGTTCAATTCGCTCAGATCCATGTCGCACATCACCAGTTATCCCAGCTCGTTGAAGCAATTGGATTTGAGCCATAACCAGATCTCCGTGTGGCCTAGTTTGCCGCAGGTCGAGGCACAGGATAATATGGAGTTGGCGAATTTGGCTTGTTATATGAATGGTAGCGGTTTTAGAGGGAAAACTCCAGAAATTGTCAGTAAGTGTTAAGATTTGTATCGAGACGTTTGTGGAGCCGCTCTCTGGCTATTTCCCGATAACTTTACATGCGCTGGATTTTGTTAAAAAAAAAAACTTTTTCAGTTATTTAACTGTTATGTTGTCTTCGTGAATACATTTTTTTGGCATAATGATCACATTATTTCTCATTTTTTAACGGTTATAAACTACAGATCGACAGGGAAAGCAAAACAGCCGCGACGTGCGCCAGCTTAAGACACGACGGAGATGCATGCCTTGTTGCCAACTTTTTTAGTATTATGTAGTTCTGCTTACGTAAAATATTGTAATAGTAAAATGGATAAAGAATTGATTATTTATTATAAGTGTTCAGAATTTGTTCATAAATTGGTTCAAAAATAGGAGACATGGATAGTGAATCCATTGAATATTAACAAATTGAAGGTATTTTATGTATTATAAAATCATTTCAGAAGCGAAAAAGAACGTGTTTTTCGTTCATACACCATGGGTGTAATTTTTTTTGCAATATTTTGATACTTATTATGAATTATTATTAGAAAGTTCATAAAATAGAAAAAACTTTATTAGCTGTGCTAGAAATTTCTACATAAATTAACATCCGTGCGAGCGCCATCCGCCGCAGTTTGCAGATCGTGCGTTGTTCAGCTAATACAAACAAAATATATTTTCTGCAAACATATTAAATGTCACAAATTCAAAGCAGTTCATCTCTTGGATCGCAGAATCTATCTCTCGCTCAATATAATTAAAAACTAGTTTCTAACAAAATTTCACTTGATGTAATTTTCTCGCCACACCACACACTCCATTTTCGAACTTCGAACCGTCAACACGCCTCCGTAGTAAGCAGACATTGTTCTCGTCAATCGCTGCTAAACATCCTATTTGACTTTCAATCAGTTTATTTCGTTTAACATAGTCTTGAATTTCTTACAAGCAAGTAAATCGTTCATTTAAAAGTGTAAATATGTATATAATTGTGCAATCGTCTTGTCTTCAAATAAGTGAATAAACCAATTTACCGTTCATCAGCCTTTGATTTCATGGACGAAAGGTTCCTTTCAAGAGGTATGATTACAGTTCATCTGTACCGGTTTTAGTCGATGAACAAACATGATATTAAATCTTTAGAAGTTTACAATTAGTGTTTAACGTTAATTATTAAAATTCTTATTTGGTTCATATGTAAGTGCTGTTGCAAAGTTGTCGGGGACAACTCAGTGATCAGTTACTATATAAAGTTAATTTTGTTGTGCCTTAAAGTTGATAGTAAAAATCTTATTCGCCAATAAAATAAAACATATTTTTTTCGCATTCAGTAAGAAGACAACCTGGTAGATCTCTGAGGCACAGCGTGTTACATTCTGTGTGTTCCCATAGAAGGCACTTGCGATTGGACAACTTGAGAACGCTCATTTTGGCCGACAATCAGCTAATGAGGATACAATTGGCCACGGACGATGACGGTGACATCAGTAGCACCGACGACGAAGATCTCGAAAGGGTAAACAGTTTGGTTCGTTTCAGGAAAATGTTGTTAAAAAATATGTTTTTTTAGGGTTCGCAAATGGGCAAATCTAGGCTTATGTTCCCGAATTTGTCCATGTTGGATATAAGTAATAATGCTTTGAAGGAAATTCCGTCGAATATCAACGATCTCAACAATCTGTCGGTGTTGAATATAAGTGGAAATTTGGGTAAGTCTTTTTCGTTTTTTGATAGATTTATTTACTATATGATTTTTTAAAATAATATGAGGCGAAGTGTGAAAGGCATTAGTTTGTAAAAAAAAATATTTTTTTTTTTTAATTAAAAATCATTAAGCTGAGCGCTTCTGACTTTACAAAGCCATCGTCATGGCCATTTTAAATGGTGTTGTATATTAACAATCAAGTGATAAAGAATAAATTACAGAGCTTACGTCTAATAAATACCTCCACAGGAAGTCTTATTTAAAATTTGGCCGTTTAGGACGTTAAGAAAACATTTAAAATCGGTTAATTTTGGCTAACAATAAAGTAGTTAAATTATACTATTATAACTTTTTAGTTTAGAAAATTTTTATTTACATATAAAAGAAGTATATAAATGTCAAAAATAAGTATTATGATACGACACTACCTCGACAATGGAGGATACATCCGCATATAAAACCTATTCCTGATTTGAAATTGGTGACTATTGCAGCCATCACTCTTTACCGAAACGGTATTATTGAGAGATTATGGTTATTTTGGGATATAAAATGGGAAATAGTTACAAGAATATGTCGAGTTTAAGTTATGGTTTTTGTCTCCTGAAAAATCTAGAAAAAACAGGGTTGCAATAACTGAATTATCTTGATCATTAGTAATAATCACGGTGTACTATAAGGTGTATCAACTCCTATTTAAAAACAAATGAAAACGGCGATAAAACCGATCGTACTTCCTAGCCAAAATCCGCTAGGTTCGCTAGTATCTATCCGGCGAGAAAGTAAATAAAAGATGAAGGTTGGTAGGAGCTGCAATTTGAAAAGTGTTGACAGATAAATATTTTTTAAAATCTTAAAATATATAAATCATGGTGGATCGTTGAGCTGTTTTTAATTGTGATTGTGGGAGAGTCTTCAACATATTGATAGCAGTTTTATAATGCCAAAAAACAGTTATACAGAATATGGTGCAATTATTTAGGTGGTATGGAAATAAACATTAAACCCAAAAGTTCCATTTGTGAAAAACATTTAAATGCAAATTATGTTATTCGTGAAAAAGTGCTAAGAAATCTACTAGGAAACGTTATTTTTCAAGTAAATATGTTTAATGTCTACGTTTTAAATGATTGTAGGTTATGTAAATAGGTTATTCAACTTTGTCTTTTCTATAATAAAAATAATTATTAGTATAAAGTTTTACTATATAAATATTTCGTATTATTTATCCTGTCCCCTTGGTACTAATAATGTTATGACTTGGACCCTATTATAATGTGTTCATGGTATAAATTTCATATACACAAGGTACCTATTTCTTTTGATATTTTTCTGACCCTGCGAATAAATAAAATCTTTGACTTATTCCTTTTAGCCTGATTATAATGCTAGAAAGTTGTATCTGGTTATAAGAATCAAATAGATACTATGATAAATTTATTTTACTTGTAGCCTTTTTATTTTCAAGTGTTTAAATATACATTTGTTTAATAATAATCTTCCCCGAATGTGTTTTGTTCCAGTTCTTTAAATGTATTTACTAGGTTTTTATAGAAGTACTGATTTTAAATTAATACAAATTTGAGTTGTAAGAAATATTAAGGATTTTTCAATTCTGTATTTTTATAGGAGTTAATCCCTTTAAGTAAATAAATGTAGTTTGGGGTCGTAGATGTTGGTATTTGTGTATTGAATAATGTGTACATACACTGGTTAATAATTTAAACAATGTTTTTTCTGATGTACCTAATAATTATTTAAGGTTATCTTGTAGTTGACGAGTCTAGAAATCCGCATATTCACACCATTCCGCACTGAAGTCTAGAATTTGACACAAATTTGAAGTTAAAAATAACGATCCTATTACTTGAAAATCTACAGATTCTTTTTATTTTTAATCAATGTAAAAATTGGTAAATACATGATAAAAAGTAAAAGTTATTTCAATATGCTTATTCCCTGGTTCCAAATAATTAAATATAACCTTGCAACTATATGTTAGGATTCCAACTATCGGAACAAGAATGGTGCATTTCCAGACCCTTCAATTATAAGATTACCATTATTTAATGTGCAGTGCAAATATAAAAAAAAACTACCTAAAAAATGCTGTTCCTGCTTTTATTACTTATGATGGGACTACTTCTCAAAGGAGACGAGAATGTGGAAAGTATTGCTGATACAGTTACCGAAGTTATCCACTGGAGGTGAAGTGTTAATCTTTTAGGAATATAGGAAATATTTTTTTATACCTAACAACTTAATATTTATTTATTGATAAGTTATAGATACTATGTATTTGAAATTCAGAGTAATCATTATGACAGCAGCATTCTTATTGTATTCGGATTCTAACACAAATAAAACATCTCATTAAATTTTTGTTAAAATTATTAATTTATTAATTTTACACTAGAAAGAAAATTAACAATACACACAAAATTATTTAAAATTAGAAATAAATACAATTTACACATTTCCCATTATTACACTTTTTCTTAATTTATTCATTTCTTATATTAACAATTTCAATTAATAATATAGTTCATTATTTAATTGGAACTCATTTTATAATTTTACTAATTATTTTTTTATATTTATTTGTGGAAAATGAAATATTAAATAAAAGCATAGGAATTGTTCTATTGGATAATAGCAGTAATGAAAAAATAAGTAGGAAAATTTCAAATGTATAGTTTCCAGATTTATTATGAGTTTTTTATATTAATGTACTCAATAAGTAGGTTTATTATGTTCGCTTGTACACGTCACAGTTAGCAGCAGACAGTAACAAACCTGACAACACTTCTGATTTCAGAAAAACATTACAACAATTTGTTTTACATTATATATTTCAATAATATAATAATCATTTATATTTAATTAATGACAAGGTTTACTTTTTAAATAAAACTATATGAGCCCTGTCCCGTTTCAATTAGCACACTTCTCATATTTATAGTGACTGTCACTACAAGAACAAATCATACATAAATCTGATAAATTCTTTTATTTTTTTTAACCCTTTCACTTCCACTTTCATTAAAAAATATACCATTGTAGTAGATTGTATGTTTTCTTTGTTTATTTTAAGTAAATTAAAATATTTTCATAGTATTTTTTATTACTCCAAGACATAACGTCCCTGTTCAGGGACATTACAAAAACAAAAATTTACTATGAAAATAAATTTTTTTAAATATTAATCTTTGAAAGTAATGCAAATAAAGTAAATAAACCAAAAAGAAAAACATTCTACCAAAATTAACAGATGTATACTTCAGGGTTAATTAAGACAGTGTCCCTCTGGAGGGACAAATACACTGAAAGGGTTAAATATTTACAAATTTTCATGAGTGTTTCATCACCTTTAACTTTGATAACGGCAATAATTCATTAAAACATTGTATTTACAAGTTCTTGAAAATCTTGTGCAGGGAACCTACTCCATATTTTTAGATTACCCATTTGAATTAATTCTGGCAGTGATCTTGTGGGTGCTGCACGCCTCTGCTTAAAAATTATCACCCCATATACAAAAAAGCATCTTTATTAAATGAACAAGAAACTAAAAAAAAAATAAGCATTATTAAAAACTACAAAAAGTGCATCATTTGAAAATCCATATTCAAGCTCCAGATTTGTAAAATTAAAAAAATTCCAAATACACATTTAACTTGTTCGATTATTTATTGAATAAAAGGTCTGTTCCAACGATCAGAAACGAACCACTGGGTAGTACACAATTTTGCAGTCTCAATAAAGTACTGTGCAGAATCCTGATGTCAGTAACTCATTTCTGAGCGTTGTTGGAACAAACCTAAAGTAAATCGAAACCACTTAAAAACAAGCACAACATTTATACTCGAGCAAATTTTTAATTCCTATCAAAATTTTTAATTACTGAATATTTTGTTCTAGTTATATTAAAATTTAAAAGTTCTTACTCTTAATTATAATTATATTTTTTATTTTCCCTATATACCTACATACTATCTCTAACATTTTAAAAATTTGATGCCTAATTAAAGATTTCATCTAGCATTGCAGAACGAAAAATGTTTTTCACATTTGTATAAATCTTCTACATCTGTCATATTAGGATAACAAGATTGTATCTAGACAGGTAGTTATTTTTTGGAGTTGAAGTTTGTATAGCCATTAACTTGTTTGATTTTCATTGTGTTTCTAACTCTAATTTAAGAGAAAATCTTAAGTGATAAAAAATTCAGAAAGAACTAAGCGACCTACATTTTTTAGAATATTTGATAAAGCATAGTAGTAACTGCCAGTTAAAACTGTGTTTCTAGTATTTAGTTTAGGTAACAGAGACAAAGCTTGGAACAAAAAATACATACTTTTGTTAATTCAGAATTTTTAAATGTTGTTTTATATTATAAATCTTTCTAGGTATCCTCTATCATTTTTTTTATAATTTTCAATCAAAACTGTTTAAAAACAAAAAGTTTAATAAAAAAATACCCATTATATTTAATACTGTTTATGCTCTAAAACTCACTGTTCTTTTAATGGCAGATTTTTTAACCTCTGAGTAAAGTTACGCATAAGTATAATCTATAGCCTAATCAGCAAGTAGTTACTTTCAACTTTATTCAGAGGTAAAAACCTGGCCTTTAATCTTAATATAATTGTGGAGGATGGAGACTACATTTGCTAGGGAATAACAAAGATATAACTACTATAATGACACTTGCTAAAAACTGTATAAGTTCTATGTACCTGCAGATAGAACCATGTGAATAACTTTAGTGCTTCGATAACACAACATTGATAATTAACAGATGAACATATTGGTCACAAAAACAAATTAATATATTCTACCAATCTCATTTTTTCCAAAAAGTACAGTTACAACCTTGTTATTCTTTGAGATGTATTTATTACTGATACTTATTAATAAAAATAATAATAATTGATGTAGGTACTTACTGATCTTTGGAAACATATATACTCCAGTCCAGTGAGACTTCATTATTCTGGTATAATGCTACCTATTTCACAGAAATGTTTGTAATTCCAATCACTATGTATGGATTTGATTATAGTAGGTATAAAACTAAATGTTTATTGAATATCTTTAATCTGGGCAATGAAAATCACAAAACTCACTTTAAAAATAATAAGCTTCAATCTGAGTACCATAGTTAAGGTCCACTTCTTCATTTTATAATCAGTAACCCACTGTATTGCTGTTTTTGCCAAAACCAAAGGTAATATTTGAACACGAAACAAAATCAGCTGTTTTTTATAAACACCCCCATTTAACTTATTTAGTAGCAAGTCTCTGGCAGCAACTTGTAACTTAATTGGAGCATATTTATTAAATCTTGAACACTTTTTTTGATCGTATAAACGCACACATCAGTGTAGCTTCTTTAAAAAAAAAACACTTATAAGCAACCATCAATAACAATAAACTTATTTGTTGACCATTAATTTTTTCATCTGTACTTCTTCTGATAGTTTTGTCATTTTTCATTTCATATAAACTCGAATTTTCACCATAGAAGAACTATTTTTATGATTGCACTTTTTCTGACAGATAAAAAGATTGCCGCAATTTTCCGCCGTAACGACACTAGCGAACCTAGCGGATTTTGGCTAGGAAGTACGACCGGTTTTGGTATGTTTTTTTCAGGGAGTTGAAACACCTTTATAGTGCGCCGTGGTAATAATCAGCAAGACGCCTTGGTGGCAAGACATTTTGAGACATTGACAAGTGACAGTAGACAGAATGACAGGAACGTCAATAGTTTTGGAATCAATTGAACTGGACCACAACAAAATCACCAAGATTAAATACTGTAAAAATAGGGCTTTATGTTTGGGTTCTGAACGGTAAATATTTTACGTATCCTCCTACTTCTACGTCTTTTCCAATTTGTTTTGATGAAAGACATTCTGATAAAAATATTTTTTCGTAAAGAAATTTCATTGGTAAAATTTAGGGACTATATATAGGGATTATATGTCCCCAAAATTAGAAACCCAGTGGCTGTAATCAGAATTTCTGAAATATTAAATAAAATCCCTTTACAAGACCCAGAAATGATCAATTTAATGTTTCTCAAAAACAGTTGAAATTGTCGAGTTTAAATTAGTATAACAATTTTACATAAAAATTATGTTTATATAAGGTGTCCCATAAATAATTTCAAATTTTTTTTGTCTATTGCACGAAATAGCCAAAACAAACGTGAAATTATTTATGGGACACCTTATATTACGTTTTCTAATTAAAATTACTAAAAAGTTTCGTCAAAAAAGGATATGTATACCAAAATGTAAAAAATAAATAATATTCGTGAAATTATTACCAAAGAATTAAAACTTTAGCTATGCTCGCGGAGCCGATCTCGAACGTATTCTGAACGTCAAGGAAACGCATACACGTCTACATAAACATTTAAATAATACAAATCCAGTGTAATTTTCACCTTAGTGTTCAGAATACCTTCGGATTAGTTCCACGAATAGCTAATATTTCAACCTTAAGACCCTGCATTTTTTTCCACGGCATTTTATTGAGGCATGTTTGGTCCAATACTCATATTTCGGTCCAAACAACCTGCGCTTATTCTATGTCCCAATAGATATGGCTCTCCAATTGTAAATTTGGAAAATTGTTAATCAACATTTTTTTTGTTCTTTTAAAATAAATTTTATTATTGTGGTTTGTTGCCTTTGAGGTGGACATAAATGGCCAAATTTTGTTAAGCCAAGCCTGGATTTTAATTATAGTTTCTATAGCATTATTATTTTTCAAAATTTTAAAACGTTTGGTGACATAGGAGTGAGACATTATATCTACTGTCGTCTGTCGTTTAAAAATTTTCTAAAAAATACAGTGTTGCCAGATCAATTCAAAGATCATCAAACGTCAGTCGTCATTTTTACCTGGGCAATAAAAAAATGCAACTTTCGATATCAGAAAAATTGTAGAAAACGCTTCATAAAAGGTATTCGTAGTAACACATTTCATGCGCATGCCCAGAAGAACGACTTCTTGTAGGGTGGCGGCGAAGTTGTAATTATTTCTGAAGTAATCATTTGTCTTCCAGAAATAAACACTCTCTATAACTAATTTAACTTTTCGTTATTCCCTAACATTTAGCAGAACATAAATACACCCGACGTTCGTAACGCTAGCCACAACCAAAATTCAAACGCATAAATTACCTCCTAATTATAATAATAATCACATTAATAATCATTGATAAATTGTAATAGATTAAAGTAATAAACTCGAAATATCATGTGATTATCACAACAAACAAACAAACCATCAACAAACGAATCCCACGCGAGAACGATAAACGAGAGTAAATTTAAATTTATGTTTGTTTACTGTCTATTTTTAGACATCAACGAGCTCCCCCCTCAGATGGGCCTGTTGTCCCGTTTGTGGAATCTCAACACACGCGGTACGAATCTACAAGACCCGTTGAAGTCAATGATAGAAAGCAAAAAATACAAAACGATGGACATAATCGGCTATTTGAAATCGGTGCTCGAAGATGCCAAACCGTACGCCAGAATGAAGCTGATGATCGTCGGCGTCCAGGGTATCGGAAAGACCAGCCTGCTGGACCAATTGCGCCAGGAGGGCGTCACGAGACGGCGACCAGAGGTTAGTTTTATTGTTGCTAACTGATAAACCGAGGTTATGTAATTCTGTATTTCCTAATAATTGTAATAGCGATAATCCGCGAGTTGGCGGCCTTGAGATTTGAAGCGGCATATGAATTAGTTTTTTTGCGAGAAATATATACTGCTCAACACAATAAGAATTTATATAAAATATATAAATAATGAAAAATATCTAAAATTAATTACAAAAGAATCAATCAACCACATTTTTGTTTCTTAAAAAGTTAGGTAGTTAAAATTGGAAATAAAGTAAGGTATTTAAACCTTAAAGTGCTACGTTCCTATTTTGACATTTGGTGTAAGGTTGCTTCTTAGGGATTAAACTAAAATTTGCTTTTATATCATCAAAAATCATATTTGATTCAAAATTTAAACAACGATGAAAAAGAAAATCAAATGTCTAGTTAATTTTCTGGTTGAGTATATGTTACCTTATAAAAAAGTAGTGTTTAATTTAGCGGTTTACCTTGAAGTGATCTTCACAAAAGTATTGGTCATTATCTAGTTTGACCTATTTTTCCTTATAAAAAAAAAGTATACTTGTAGGTATCATTATTGTAAACAAAAATCTTTGTTCCACATCTTTTGCAAATTAATAGTAACATGAAAGTTAATTTTTTTAAATAAAAATATTTGACAAAATGTCTCAAATCTTTTACGTCTTACAATGTTGCCAAGTCGCACAAAAAGCTTATACTATCCTTATTACTTATTGTCAAGTAGTACAGCAATTCATCCCTAATAATTTTCCTTGTCCCAACAATATTTTATAATAATAACTGTTGACGTTGTTTTACCAACCCAGCACATCTAAACATTCCCTTTTACGTAAAATATTTAATATTTATTTTATTTAATAAAATTAATTATGTCATCATTAATTTGAAAGTTTATTTGGAAATATCGATTTTGTTTAAAAGTAGGAACTTAAAAATTGGAATTGTAGGTTCTCATCATAAATAAATAATGAAGTGTTTCAGGGTTTTTGCATTTTAACATTTTAAGAGGGGAAATAGGGGGTGAAAATTTGTTTAATAGTATGTATATATTTTTTTGTTATTTAAAGTTTGAAACAAAAATTTGAATTACAGTTACTCATTAAAAATCAAAAATGATGTGTTTCATGGTTTTTGGATTTTCACATTTTAAGGGGGGGAAACGGAGGTGAAAATTTGTATAGAAGTATAAATTTTTTGAACGTTGGAACTTGAAAATTATAATTGTAGCATAAATAAATAATGACGTGCTCTGTGGTTTTAAGATTTTTTTATGGTATCATAAAAATAAACTAAAATAAAAAAAAATTATTAAAAATTAATAAAAATTAATAAAAATTAATAAAAATTAATAAAAATTAATAAAAATTAATAAAAATTAATAAAAATTAATAAAAATGAATAAAAATTAATAAAAATTAATAAAAATTAATAAAAATTAACAAAAATTAATAAAAATTAATAAAAATTAATAAAAATTAATAAAAATTAATAAAAATTAATAAAAATTAATAAAAATTAATAAAAATTAATAAAAATTAATAAAAATTAATAAAAATTAATAAAAATTAATAAAAATTAATAAAAATTAATAAAAATTAATAAAAATTAATAAAAATTAATAAAAATTAATAAAAATTAATAAAAATTAATAAAAATTAATAAAAATTAATAAAAATTAATAAAAATTAATAAAAATTAATAAAAATTAATAAAAATTAATAAAAATTAATAAAAATTAATAAAAATTAATAAAAATTAATAAAAATTAATAAAAATTAATAAAAATTAATAAAAATTAATAAAAATTAATAAAAATTAATAAAAATTAATAAAAATTAATAAAAATTAATAAAAATGAATAAAAATGAATAAAAATGAATAAAAATGAATAAAAATGAATAAAAATGAATAAAAATGAATAAAAATGAATAAAAATGAATAAAAATGAATAAAAATGAATAAAAATGAATAAAAATGAATAAAAATGAATAAAAATGAATAAAAATGAATAAAAATGAATAAAAATGAATAAAAATGAATAAAAATGAATAAAAATGAATAAAAATGAATAAAAATGAATAAAAATGAATAAAAATGAATAAAAATGAATAAAAATGAATAAAAATGAATAAAAATGAATAAAAATGAATAAAAATAAATGAAAATCAATAAAACTAATAAACACGACTTCATGCGAGCAAAGTCGCGCGCAAACCCGCGGGCAACAGCTAGTGTATATTATAATACAAGTACGTATGTTTAGTTTTTTCATAACCAAAAAGAGCTCAAACTAGAATTTACCAAATTATTTTATAGTTTTTACAATTTTGACTGCCGAATGCAAGAAGGTTGATTAAAATTTATGACCCTGATAAACTTTGACGGAGCTTGAGAATGATATGAACTTTATTACTCAGTCTAAACATCTGTCAAAGTTTATCATGCTAGTAAATTTTAACTAACGTTCTTGCAACTGGCTGTATGTCTTACAGTCTAAAACAAGTTTCGCACTTTCAAGTCCCTGCTTGAATATATTAAATTTACTTCGGCTCACAAGACTCAGTAAACAGCAACTAAAATATTCTGATAGTATATCCTTTAAGCAAATTATATTCATGTATAAGATTACCTAGATTACTTGTGAATATGTTCTTTATAAACACTTATTGGTTCTGGGTCTTTTCATGAAAAGTAATTTTTGGATTAGTCCAATGAACTTGCCCGGACAAGTAGTGAAAGGTAGTCGACTTGGAAATAACTTGATAAAAAGATATACAGTTTATCTATCACTATACTAGTATCACTGGAAATAATATTTTTTTTCTTTTCTTGGAATCTTTTGTCCTGAGTATATTTTAAGACCTAAAATGAAATAATAGTTCAAAAACTAGATATTAAAGTCCATAAACAACTTTGGCACACGAATTGCGTCATTAGGGAACACATTAAATCCCTAAAAAACAATCTTACAACGTTGCCACATCCAAATATTTGAAATATAAATATCTGACTTATCTAGTAATTAATTTTAAAAGACAAAATTTACTAGGGCGTTTCTTTTGTCATATATTCTCGATATTTTTCATTATTTCATAGGGGAATTCGCCCTTGTTGTAAATGGAAAATCAAAGAGTTAGTTGTGTCCATCGCCAACATCCATTTCCACTCTTGTAATTTAATATCCTTAGAGACATAAAATAATACTCTTACTAATTCACCCCCCTTCGAGTTTTTAATTTCAGAAGTAGTTTTTGTTTCCTGTCATATTTTTGGTTAATAAAATTATTAAACCAAACCATTCTCATTTAAATTTTTGTGAGAGTCGACTATATGTGGATGTTGGTGGATGTAGACATTTTGACAGCCTTTTCAATAAATTTTACCTTTACCTGTTAGCCTTTTTAACTGGTCAATATTTGGACCATAAACACTATAAAACCATTGAGTTTTTATGTTCTAGCACTGGGCGAAAAGAATGGGCAATAAAAACATAAACGCAAAAACGTCCAGAGGTTCGAACATGTCCACTGTAGGCGTAGACATCGGTGATTGGGTTTATGAGAAAAAAGTGAGATTACAATCATCTCACGGACCAGTTGTGTTCAGAACGTGGGATTTCGGCGGACAAAAAGAGTAAGTAAGACAAATTTTCACATAATTCTTATTAAATATGTAAAAATTTGACTCTAGACTTCAGTCACATCAAATTCTGGCATTGACAAATGTCATAGCTATCAAATTCCGACAAATGGAATTATATTAGGTTTATTCCCTGGAATTTAAAGACTAAGTTACACAACTTCTGAAAATATCGTTCCATCTATACAATTTGTTCAAATGGAACAATATTTTCAGAAGAGACGTAGCTCAGTGCTACACTTTCGATGCAAATGAAAAGATCTAATATTTATGAATCATAATTTCTCTTAAATGTCAAATTTTGACTTTAACTTCAATCACATGGAATTCTGGCATTGATAAATATCATAGCTGTCAAACTCCGCCGATAGAATTATACATTGTTTATGCATTTTAGGTATTATGCAACACATCAGTATTTCTTATCAAAACGCAGCTTATATCTGGTAGTGTGGCGAATTACTGACGGTCACAGAGGCATCAACGAGATTCTTCAGTGGCTGGTTAATATACAAGCTAGAGCTCCGAACTCACCTGTCGTTATAGTAGGCACTCATTTTGATGTCATACAGGAATTCAATCCTAATATTTCGGAGGAATATCAACAAATTATTAGGGATAGATTCATAAACGTCGTGGATGCTGAAAAATGCGGACTACCAAGAGTTCTGGATACCATTGAGATTAGTTGCAAGACGAGGCATAATATCAAATTGCTGTGCAATTTGATTTACGATACAGTGAGTGTTTCATATCAATTTGTGCATACATAATTCTTATTTGTGTCTTTCTTTATTTCTATCATAGGTATTCAGTTTGCGACCCCCCGGCAGCAAAGAATTACTGTTAGAACAAAAAGTTCCTGCGACCTACTTAGCATTGGAAGACGTGATTAATTATATCGCGACTGAAAGGAAAGCTAATGGTTTTGATCCGGTTCTAAACGCTGAACAGTATAGAAACTTGGTTACCACAGAAATGCTGCAGAGATATAATAAAACGTTCAGGGATTGGTCCGAGTTACACCAGGCCACTTTATTTTTACACGAAAACGGTGAGTTTCTGATATCTAACATTTTGTTTTTTAATTCCTGCTCATATACAATATTAACTTTTTATAGGCGTATTACTACATTACGACGACGCTACTCTAAAAGATCTCTATTTCCTGGATCCCCAGTGGTTGTGCGACATGTTAGCGCACGTCGTAACCATAAGAGAAATAAATCCTTTTGCCAGGACCGGCGTGATGAAATTAGACGATTTGAAACACATTTTTAAGGCTAGCAATATCGGGCCGATGGATACGAGAGGTTATATCGTTAATTTGCTCAACAAATTCGAGGTGGCCCTAACGTGGGACTCTAGAACGTTATTGATACCGTCGCTGTTGCCTTCGGAAGAAGACATCATTATGGCGCAGATTTACCCGGGACAGTTTCATCCGATGGTTAAAGTAAAAGTACCGTTGAGATCGCGCGGGTGGGCCGTGAGGAGTAAAAAGATAAGCGTCTCGCCGAAATCTGTGTTGTACAGAGATCCGAGCGTACAGAGGACGTTCGAGTTGAGTATGCCGCCCGGAGCTGGTTCTCCTGTCAAAAATCGTAAGTTACTATATATTGTAATGGTATCAATAGGGGTGATCTTTTCAAATAAAATATTGTATAGGACCTTTCAATAGAATAAGATGTACTGTTAAAATATGAAACTTAGTATAATTTTAAAAAGGAACCCAGTATTAAATTTAAACAATTATAGAAATAAGTATAGTATTTAAGATAGAACGTTAAATAATAAGTATTTTTGTTGAGATTTCATAAACTAAGACATTTTGTAATTGAACAGTCATTAGTAAAACTTATATAACTGTATAAAGGACTAAATAAGTGTAAAAGAACGGTTTTAAGAGTATTTCATAAATTTTAATTAAAAACATTATGGTAAATGGACATTTTATGAACAAAATGGTTAAAAAGTGAATATAACATCAAGAATTTAGGGACATTTTGGTAAAAACATGCTATTATTAAAGTGTTTAAATCAAAGAAAATATGGAATTATTGGTAACAAAAACTAGTTTAAAATAAAGAGAAAGTATCAGAGAAAACAATGATGGGGAAAAGTAAATTAAGACTATAATGTTCAAATAAAAAGGTCAAATTAATAAATTTTATTCAAATTCTAAGAAATCAATGAAAAATTATGTCAAAATGAAAGAAATTTCCTAATTACCATGAAAACAGAAAAACTAAATAGGAGTACCTGAAATCAAGGGCACAGTTTATAGCTAAAGAATCAGTTCGCTCACTCTGCGTCGGCACTTTTGATCTCAATGTTCCAGTTTATATACTGCGCAACTCGGATTTGTATGAATCAAATCATAACCAATACAATATATAACAACCGCCTATATTCAAACAGCAGTCTTCTGCGCATCCTGAATTTGTATCCCTGGAGTAGATATTATTTTGGAACATTCAACTGATTCTTTAGCAATAAACTGTGTCAAGGGAGTCTGTAAAAATATTTGTAGGGAGCACATCGTAAAAAGCTGGTAAAATTGAAAAAAAATACCATGAAAAATTTGCAGTTTAGCTAGTTGTCAAAATAAGATTCAGCTAATGGTAATCTTATTTTGTGTTGGAGGTAGCAGAGTCCAGTTTTTCCTTATAAAACCATCGATGTAAGAATATTCCAGTTTAATTTTCTAATCCAAATTTGATCTAATTGAATAAAAGCATGCAATAAATAAATGGAACTAAGGTTATGTATAGAATTACTCACTTTAAGCGGCGTACAGACCAGATTCCAATGCCGAGCATCCCAATCCAAGCAGCTTGCCCGTTGGGATTTGGCATTAGAAGCGTTTGGGAAGGTTCGGTCGCTTGATCAGTTTGGTGCTAAAAGTGAGACCAGTAGGTAGAAAATGTCGAGCGATGAGGAAGATTTATTGTTAACAAGTGCGGGATTTTTAATATTACATTCTGTAATTACAAAGAAAAAGAAGAAACGGCAGCCTAGGCGTTGGTGGTTGACAACACCTTTTAAAAACATACTTTTGTACAGTGAAAGTCGCTTATTAGAGGAGCTTGAAAGTGAGGATGGTGGACATTTTAAAAATCTTTGCAGAATGACATCAGATATTTTTAATACACTACTTCTTTTCGTAAAGCCAAAAATTAAAAAGCTAAACTGGAAATTCATATTCAAGTTTAGCATTTACATTTATAATTTCGAAATAGTCTATATCAAGTATTATTCCCGAAGTGTGTTTGGCTATAATTGAAGAACTTCAAGATTATGTAAAGGTTTGTACGCGGCTAAACTAAAAATGTCATAAAAATGCCAAAAGCAACTCGAGAAAAACAACACAAGCAAAATCTCTACCAAGCGAGCGACAAATCCTGTCCAGACCAAATCAGACATTCCTTTGATGTACCGCTCAAGGAGCGAACGCAACCGAACGCCAACGCCAAGCCACAGATTACCCAGATGCAGAGACAACACGAGACGGTTAACTTCATAGCAAAAATTGATTGAAATTTAGGTATAGTAGTCATCAGGGTCAGCTGGTATTTTATCTTTGTCGTGTACATTATTTCCTTATAACGTTATCTTGTTCTCATAAGCTAAAAGATAGGGTAGATGTCGCTGGTAACGTTCCAGCAATGTTGCCGTTATAAACATTTTCCAAATTTGTTTCTTTTACATTTAAATAATAATGATCTTATTTATCCATAAGTAATACTTATATTGGACTTTTAATTTCTTTGTATATAATATATATAACAAAAGATGTGTTTTAAGAAATATATAGCAGGATTGTGTATAAAGATCAAAAATAAAAAGTCAATAGCACTAGAAGAAAATAAGTTTGGCATCACAGCACTTTGACGTCTGCCAGATTGACGTATTTCTAACCTATCATTTTATCTCCTTGTCCAATTTTTTATTTCTATGTTTGGTGACTTTGGTGTCGTTTTACTTATATATATTTTACAATTTAACTTGTAAATTCATTTTTTTGGTTGTTTTTCATTCATTATTAGTTACGTATTTAAATTTGTTAGTTTAGTGTTTTCCCCGGTAAATGACATTTTTATCGTGGTGTTTTCATATTAGGTAGTTTTAAGTTTGTTTACAATGCCCGGATCACGCCGGGATTTTGTTTAATTTCCGTAAAGTAAGTATTTCAATTTTATTGTAGAACCTTTGTGGTGTGAATGTTTATTAATGTTTAATACAGAATATATCTTATTATTGAAATCATACTTTTATTTTATTTTCCTTTTTAATGCTTTTTATTTTGTGTGCCTAAAAAAATGAGTTTTTTTCTGATTTGATGTGCTAGTAAATGTGAATTACATATTTATTCACATTTCCAGTGCATCAAATCAGAAAAAAATCATAAACATAATAGATAAAGTGGATCTACATATTTGAATTTCCCGCGGTTCTTCTTTAAAAAAAAAAAAATTATAATTTGACCGGTTGCTTATAAAGAAAAAGGCCACTATTAAAACAAGGTATACCAGCGCCATCGGCCTTATCTTCCAGTCCAATCGCCCAGTCAATTCTTGGTGAAAGGCAAAATTGCATTGAGTTAACCGTCTCATTAGTTGTCTCTGCCCAGATGCGAAAGTTGACAAAGAACATCAAAATTAAGAGAGAGATAAATGGCCATACCCATTTAAAGGTCCCTCGTAGCAACTCGTTTCCACTCGCGTAGTTCCGAAGGCAAAAGTTATTTCATTATTCGAAGTTGCCGATGCTCCCAAGTTTTCTGATGTTATGTGACATTGGAATTTAAGTCAAATGAAAATGTACATACATTTTTTAGTTACTCCCACATACTTCGATTTTTTAGTATGTGGTTACCCCAGACGTTACATACAAATAACGTATAATTAAAATCCGCTAAACATAAAATAATACAAAACCATTTAAAGGTTTATAGTTTACATTTATCAATGACAATGACACTTTAAAAAACGCGTGAAATTTTTATTTTTTATGTGACAACCTTGCTTAGGATGCTGCAAGTGAGATGACATTTCTGTGACATTCAGGACAATCAGGACCGGTCGTGACGCTTTGCGTTGTGTGCATTTTTGGACAAAAATATTGGGTATTTGTGTCTAGTCTTCTCATGTAGATAAATCATGAGTGAAACGAAGAATATACGTCGTGGTGGCATCTAGGGCACGTATAAAATGTCTTCGAATTCATAGCTGTAAATGTATGAACACTTTTCTACTGCAACTTTTGTTTTAGATATCAACAATATTTTTATTCATTTGAAAGGTTATGATATCAAATCATTATTTGAAAGTCTAAAAACACCAACCGAATGTTTTTATCAGTACATTTATCAGTTGGAATATTGCAGTTTTTAAAAAATATAGAAAATTACTTACCTTGTCCCACACTTTCAAATAATGTGTATAATTTGTTTAACCTTCACCTGGCCTCGTGGGGATACGTACATACCCCACGCTCTTTCTCGTCAATTTTAGATATCTAAATCTTCGAAATCCAAACTCGTAAATTATAATAAACAAAATAGAGCCATTATAAAAAAAATCAAAGAGCGAGGATTTGCAATTTTGTCGATTCTAAGCAAACTTACGGAGAACTCGATCGTAGCGCGCGCCAGTCGAGGCACTCCCATCGCTGTGCAGGACCGTACCTGTTTAAAATTTTTAATTATTTTTATTTTAAATATTTTGGAAAAATGAAATTGCGAATCGGTCTCAAATTATGCGAACTACCACCCCTACAAATTTGGACGCCAAGTTCGGAAACACCCTGTATATAAGAGATTTCTAAATAAAAATCTTCCTATTCATCAATTTTAAAGGCCAATATATCATTATTTGTCTAGAGCTCATTGTCAAAACGAATTTTTTCTTATGAATATTTTGATTTTGATAGTTTGAAGTTTGATCTTCAAGTGACGCAGTGACAGTAAAGCAAGGTTTAATAACAAGGAGGTTAGATCACTTGGAAATTAAACTCAATCTATTGTATTAGATTTACTAAGAGGTTGATAGATAGGCAACTTCTTTTACACATAAACAAAAATTCTTTGAATATCATAATAGCCCAAGAGCCCACTGCAATTTTTTACCCTCAACTGATAATGAAATGAAATATTCCCCAAAAGCATGTAAAAACATTGTACTTTACCAAATGGCACCTGTGCCAATCCCAATCCTGAGCAAAGTGGTCGAAAAAAAATATTTTACATTAAAAAAATCACATTAGGCATAAAAGGCATAATTTTGTTTGCCCTTAAAGTTTTCCAGAAAATAATATATTCAAATAGATCTTGATATATATCGTTAAAGGGAAACATTTTCTTCCTCTTAACATCGCACAAAAACATCTATCCACGATTAGTAGGTAAAAATCATTAAAAATATGAATCAATTTTTGCTGATTTAAAAATGTATTTGTATGCCTATTGTTGTTATTCATTTTTACAGGTTGTCATAGAAACGACAAAAAACTACTATGATTATGATTTAAAAGAATTATGTAACAAGAGTTTATAATTATTATTGACTATCTCTGCAAATGGTTCTTTCTTTTACACATATACATGGTTTAAAAGTTAGGTAAAAATATTAATAATTCAGGTTTAAAAGCTAGGTTCACAATGAATTAAGATTGTAATTTTCAGGGAAAACACAATGGTCGCTGTCATGTCTTATGTGATTTTTTGAATATAAAATAATTTTTTTTAACCACTTTGCTCAGGATATGGATTGGCACAGGTGCAATTTGGTAAAGTACAATGTTGTTACATGCCTTTGGAGCATATTTCATTTCGTTATCAGATGACGGTCGAAATTTGCAGTGGGCTCTCTTACTATAAGTAAATAGAAGTGTTGTATTTAGCAGCTAGTTGTCTTTGAAGTTTTTTTTTTCTGTATTTCCTTTTATGATATGTAGTTTAAAATGATACTGGATAGTTAATAATTTTAATTTTAATAGGTTTAAGGAATTTTGCAACATTAATCACAATATATGATATACAGGGTATGGTAAATAAATTTTGGGTAGAATTTTTGAGAAACTTTATTAATAATAGAACAAAACTTTTGATACCTGTTTATGGTTTTTTGTGTGTTAATAATTTGAAATATAGGTTGTTTGTGTGTTGTACCCACTGAACTTTCCTTGCGAATATAGTTTATTTGTTTATGTCTCATGCTCAAATAATTCTTTTGTAAATAATTTTGTTTTCTGAGAGAAAACATTTCTTTTCTCTAAAATTTAGGGGAAAGTGGCGCTCACGGGAAATTTGTAAATCTAATTGAATTTTAAATTACTAAAAATAAAATAATTTGTGTTTGAAACTTATATTTGAGTTTTAATTAGAGCTAGTCTGGGTAAAGAAGGTAAAAAGGAAATAATAAAAAAATATTAATAATATCGATATAACAAACTATCACAATATATTTATAACGGAATTCGTTCGAATGGAGCAAAGGGTTGTTCCCTGGCTATTAACATAATTTTTTGACAGATGACAAGACTCGTATCTACTTTTTTTTGTTTAGCTTTCTATGTCTACTCAAATATAATTGTCAGTAAAATTATAAAGGTCTAACTTAAGTCGTATTACTATTGAAAATTTATAAATCTACTAGACTGTTGACACATTTAAATTTCGACACAATTCAGCGTACTGTAACAATGAACAAACATATTATTCTAGCTCAAACTCCAGAAGAGCCTCAATACCAACTAAAATCGAAATGTTCGGACAAATCAATGACAAGATTACTTCTGATGTCCTATTTTCCGTCCGGTTTTTGGTCTCGACTCATTTCCCGGATACTCGCCGACGATACAATAATCGATATCATCAGATCGTTCTTCATTTTACCGAAAGATGTCGCGCAGGACGTTCAGTTAGCCAAAGTATTGGATTTAACGGCTGAATGGGTTCTGTGGCAGACTGGATTGCAGCTCAAATACGGCGACATTACTTTGTTTAGAATGAAGGAAGTGTTGCATAATTCTGCAGCGTATTACAGACAGTTAAAGTAAGTATTTTTAATAAATTAGGTATGCGTGACATGATTCGATTTGTTTATAGATTTCGGTTAAAACAGGAGGGCGTTTGGTCGGATGTTGATCTTCTCAATTCTTCTATTTTAGAAATACATTTCCCAGTAGAATCTCTGGTCGTTCAACCTTTGCTAAATCAAAATTATCATAGTGGTTATAAACTTAGAGAGGAACTAATTATCGAACCGTCTACCGAGTGTACAGCTCAATTACTGGCTTTGACAGTGGATCATATCGATATCCTTCTCGAGGATTGGTAAGTACTTAACGTTAAATGTCTTTTGTGTATCGAACAATCAAATCAAAATCGAACGTGCTTTTAGGTATCCGACTTTAGGTACGAGGTTCGTACACACTTCAGAAGGAAAGTTTCTCATAACGCGTCTAATCCCTTGCCCAAAATGTTTGACAGTTTCTGACAGTGATCACAATCTAAACGAGTTTCCGCCTTCAAATGCTCATTTACTGGAACCTTTGAATCAAGAACACGAACAAGCAGGTAAAACATTGTTAATTTGCCATCTTTCATATGCAATAACCACTGAGGTAATATGGAAGAGTGATAACTTACACATTTGATGCAATACATCGAAAATAGGGACTTTGGGCGGGGCTTATTATAACACCAATATGACGGAATTACTAGGTTTGTATAAAAAACTATTTGTAGTCCAATTGACTTTGTTTTAAATCTTTATGAAAAAGTTTCTTATTTTATCATGTTAATACAAAATACCTCTCTTCCATATTACCTCAATGACAGTAACGGTACTTTATGATATCTGTGTCATTCTGTTGCCGTTTTAGGTCATTTTGATCTGCATAGAATACGAAAATCTCAGGAATCTTACACGTCCGAATGCGATAGCGGAGTGGGACCCGATTCGGCGAGTTCTAGTCGCATACCTTCGGTCGAAGGCCATCCTGGGGTGCAACCTGAGGAAGAGAAACCGTTAATATACTGTTGGATGGTCGAAGAATGCATTTTAGAAGCGTACGGGGATAAGAAAGTGGTTTGCCCCACGCACGGAGATTGTCCGTTATCCAGAATCGCCGGTGATACGGTTAGTAGTGTTCCTAAATTCTTTTATAAACGATAATTCGGTATGTCTTATATATTTAACGTTGCAGATATTTATGGATTTGGGTGAAAGGTACATCATAAGGCCGGAGAATATTAAAAAGGGCAGGTTATTAGGAAGGGGCGCTTTTGGGTTTGTATTCAAAGGAACTTGCAAGTTACGTGGTTCGAATACGACTATGGATGTCGCGATGAAAATGCTTCAACCAGTTCAACCTGGTCCTAATGCTCGACAATCAGCTGTAATAGCTTACAAGGTATTCTATTGGGATTTTTATATAATTTGCGTTATAAGTATCTACTTTTTTAGGCAGCACAAGGAAAGTGGGACAGAGATCCTTTGCAATACGCCTGCAAAGCCTATTGTACCGCCAGACAGGAACTCAACATACTACTTTCTCTTAAGCATCCGAATATCGTACCTTTTGTCGGCGTTTGCACCAGTCCTTTGGCTCTGGTGCTAGATTTGGCACCTCAGGGAGCTCTGGACTTGGTTTTAAGGCATTACAGGAGATCCGGTGCGAAAGTGGGACCTTATACTCTTCAAGCCATCATCTTACAGGTTAGTTCAACCGATTATGATGTAAATTATCGATGATGATTGAGGTTCGTTTTAGGTCGCCAAAGCGATAGAATACCTCCACAGACAGCGCATCATTTACAGAGATCTGAAATCAGAGAATGTATTGGTATGGGAAATGCCACCGCCGTTTATGGATCATCCTGATCAACCTGTACAAATAAAAGTAGCAGATTATGGTGAGAATTTTGAAATTATATTCCCTAAACCTTGGTGGTAATATCAGGCTTGTCCTATATGTACGATATTTTTTTAGGTATAAGCAGGCTGACGTTGCCGTCGGGAACGAAAGGCTTTGGGGGTACGGAGGGGTTCATGGCACCCGAGATTATGAGGTACAATGGCGAGGAAGAGTACACGGAAAAGGTGGATTGCTTTTCATTTGGTATGTTCGTTTATGAGTTGCTGACGTTGCATCAACCCTTTGAAGGACACGAATCCGTGAAGGAGTGCATTTTAGAAGGTGGACGGCCGGCTTTAACTTACAGGGTAAGCATGATTTGTTTTGTTAGATTTTTCATTAACCGACTTCAAAAAAGGAGGAGGTTCTCAATTCGTAGCAATATTTTTTTTTATGTATGTTCAGCGATAATTCTTTAACATGGTGTCCGATTTCAATGATTCTTTTTTTTTTTTGTTAGAAAGGGGGTACTTCAGGGGTGGTCCCATATAAATTTGGTCAAAATCTAATAATTGGGTCCATGAGAAAACCCTCAAACTCTTAATTTTTTATGTATGTTTAGCGATAATGCTTTACCACCTTGTCCGATTTATATGATTCTTTTTTTGTTAGTAAGGGGGTACCTTAGGGGCGGTCCTATATAAATTTGGTTTAGATGTGCTGATGGAATCTACACGTTTTTGAAGTCGGTTTTTTTTAATTTTTAATTTCTAATACTTGTGTTACTTTTCAAAATATTTTTGATATTTTTAATTGTATAATTAATTGTAATTAATCGTAATTAATCGTAATTGATTGTAATTAATTTTACTTATTCGTGATTAATCGTGATTAATTGTTATTAATTGCTATTAAACGTAAATAATTATAATTAATCATATTTAATCATAATTAATCATACTTAATCATACCTAATCATAATTAATCATAATTAATCATAATTAATCATAATTAATCATAATTAATCATAATTAATCATAATTAATCATAATTAATCATAATTAATCATAATTAATCATAATTAATCATAATTAATCATAATTAATCATAATTAATCATAATTAATCATAATTAATCATAATTAATCATAATTAATCATAATTAATCATAATTAATCATAATTAATCATAATTAATCATAATTAATCATAATTAATCATAATTAATCATAATTAATCATAATTAATCATAATTAATCATAATTAATCATAATTAATTATAATTAATCATAATTAATCATAATTAATCATAATTAATCATAATTAATCATAATTAATCATAATTAATCATAATTATTCATAATTAATCATAATTAATCATAATTAATCATAATTAATCATAATTAATCATAATTAATCATAATTAATCATAATTAATCATAATTAATCATAATTAATCATAATTAATCATAATTAATCATAATTATTCATAATTAATCATAATTAATCATAATTAATCATATGTAATCATATGTAATCATAATTAATCATAATTAATCATAATTAATCATAATTAATCATAATTAATCATTATATAATCATAATTAATCATAATTAATCATAATTAATCATAATTAATCATAATTAATCATAATTAATCATAATTAATCATAATTAATCATAATTAATCATAATTAATCATAATTAATCATTATATAATCATAATTAATCATAATTAATCATAATTAATCATAATTAATCATAATTAATCATAATTAATCATAATTAATCATAATTAATCATAATTAATCATAATTAATCATAATTAATCATAATTAATCATAATTAATCATAATTAATCATAATTAATCATAATTAATCATAATTAATCATAATTAATCATAATTAATCATAATTAATCATAATTAATCATAATTAATCATAATTAATCATAATTAATCATAATTAATCATAATTAATCATAATTAATCATAATTAATAATAATTAATCATAGTTAATCATAATTAATAATAATTAATCATAATTAATCATAGTTAATCATAATTAATAATAATTAATCATAATTAATCATAATTAATCATAATTAATCATAATTAATCATAATTAATCATAATTAATCATAATTAATCATAATTAATCATAATTAATCATAATTAATCATAATTAATCATAATTAATCATAATTAATCATAATTAATCATAATTAATCATAATTAATCATAATTAATCATAATTAATCATAATTAATCATAATTAATCATAATTAATCATAATTAATCATAATTAATCATAATTATTCATAATTAATCATAATTAATCATAATTAATCATAATTATTCATAATTATTCATAATTAATCATAATTAATCATAATTAATCATAATTAATCATAATTAATCATAATTAATCATAATTAATCATAATTAATCATAATTAATCATAATTAATCATAATTAATCATAATTAATCATAATTAATCATAATTAATCATAATTAATCATAATTAATCATAATTAATCATGATTAATCGCAATTAATCGTAAATAATTGTAATTAATGCACAACTTAAAATATGAAAGAGGTTGTGGATTCCCTCTAATCTTAATCCTTTGTTCCTTTTAGGAAACGTTATATCCCAGTTATTTTTTGGATCTCATGGTGCTCTGTTGGTCGCAACAGCCCAAAGACAGACCCTCGGCTAGTCAAATAGTCTCGATCGCCAGCGCTCCCGAATTTACTCACTTATGTGACGTCGTATCTCTAAAACATGTGGCTCCGGTCGTAGCCTCTACGAGTGCAGCCCTAACTCATATCACAGGTAAGAGATGAACTTTGACATTGGCGTACAATCATCTGCCAATCACCAGAAATGTTGATGTTTGTCATTTAAACAACACGGTTTTCAGATGATGGCCTATCTGGTTCGGAAATGTGGCTGATGTGTGCAAATTCGAGAATAGACTTGCTCCTGGCGGCCGAAAGGGGTTGGCTACAGTACCATACCATGACTTTACCAATAAGGGCCACAGCTGCTTGTACTGTAGGTGATTCGGTCTGGATAGGCGATTATTCTGGAAAATTACATGCTTATTCGTAAGTGGCTTATATTCTTTAAATCTGATCTCTGTCCCATATATCTTTTGCGCTACGTAAATGACTATTTAATTGACTATTTAATTGACTGTTTAATTGACTATTTAATTGACTATTTAATTGACTATTTAATTGACTATTTAATTGACTATTTAATTGACTATTTAATTGACTATTTAATTGACTATTTAATTGACTATTTAATTGACTATTTAATTGACTATTTAATTGACTATATAATTGACTATTTAATTGACTATTTGATTTACTATTTAATTTACTATTTAAATTATTATTTAATTTACTTTTTAATTTACTATTTAATTTACTATTTAATTTAATATTTAATTTACTATTTAATTTACTATTTAATTTACTATTTAATTTACTATTTAATTTACTATTTAATTTACTATTTAATTTACTATTTAATTTACTATTTAATTTACTATTTAATTTACTATTTAATTTACTATTTAATTTACTATTTAATTTACTATTTAATTTACTATTTAATTTACTATTTAATTTACTATTTAATTTAATTTACTATTTAATTTTCTATTCGATTTACTATTTAATTAACTATTTAATATTCTATTTAATTTACTACTTAATTGACGAATATTTAATTTTAATTGGTTATTTAATTGATTATTTAATTGATTTTAATTGATTTTAATTGATTTTATATGATTTTAATTGATTTTAATGGATTATAATTGATTTTAATTGATTTTAATTGATTTTAATTGATTTTAATTGATTTTAATTGATTTTAATTGATTTTAATTGATTTTAATTGATTTTAATTGATTTTAATTGATTTTAATTGATTTTAATTGATTTTAATTGATTTTAATTGATTTTAATTGATTTTAATTGATTTTAATTGATTTTAATTGATTTTAATTGATTTTAATTGATTTTAATTGATTTTAATTGATTTTAATTGATTTTAATTGATTTTAATTTATTTTAATTTATTTTAATTGATTTTAATTGATTTTAATTGATTTTAATTGATTTTAATTGATTTTAATTGATTTTAATTGATTTTAATTGATTTTAATTGATTTTAATTGATTTTAATTGATTTTAATTGATTTTAATTGATTTTAATTGATTTTAATTGATTTTAATTGAATTTAATTGATTTTAATGGATTTCAATTGACTATTGTTACATTTTTAGAGCTAACGATGGTCGAAAATTGTTCTTCTACACGTTGGAAAATCAGCCGAACACCCAGGTGGAGGCTTTGCTGTATTTACCTTCGCTGAAGAGGGTGGCGTGCGCTTTATCGAACGGTAGATTGTTTTTGGTGAATTCCGAAACGAAACCTTTGACTCCTACTGCGGCCGAGGGTTCGTTCGTTATGACGGAATTAGGTTCGATGTCTGTTATCAACTGTATGTGCGCCGTTTTCGATCAAACAGACAGGTAAGCTATGTAAATTTATATAATTGATAGATTGAGAAAAATCAGACAATGGTTTTCAATATTGATGAATTTTAAATGTCTAGTAGTTTTAGTGAATAATACGCTATATATTCATGTGACGTAATTTTTGTTTCAATGACAGTCAACTTTTAACAAAAACAAACAATTCCTGTTATTAAATTTGACATTAAATGCTTACATCAGAAGTCATTTTAAATAATCTGCAAAATATTTATAATTTTATCAGAGAACGCAGTGTACTTTTAGAATTAATCGCAATAGATAGCGTTGGGACCTGCTTAAATACAATTGTTCGTTTGTATTTACACACTCTAGATTACAAGACATAAGCTGGCCCTGTCGTATTCCAATATTTAAACTATGTCAATTTTAAAATGCTACGAAAGTTTGTAACAGCGCAAAAACTGCAAGATCAGTGGGTACACTACGAATTAAAAACATTAACCAATTGGTTAAATGTGACTTAAATCACACACGACATAAAAAAAGAGTATTGCTGTATTTTATCTCTCTATTAACACAATGTTTCTCAGTCAAGTGTTGCAACTAAGTAATTTATAGTTACAAAATCTAGCCAACAAGGTTTGACATTCAAGCATCTGAATAGCTCTCATCGCGAAGTCTGTAAATAGGCATGAAGCAGTAGCGTCACAAGCATTATTGATTCTTCAATAACACGAAGCTATAAACGCCCTTAAAACCTCCAACACGGATAATATCTATTAAGTAATATTTTGGATTTTTGCTTTTTTTGCAAAATTGATTTTTTCTTTCAGTTCTTGTGAACTTTGGTGCGGAGAATCGGCCGGACAAATATCGATATACACGATTAAAGATCACGTTGTGGCCGGTCACGAAATCGTTAATCACTATCAACCAATAATCGAGAAGGTCGACGTGATGAACATCATTTCCGTGGAGAGTAACGTGTGGTCGTACGTCCGACCCGGATGCATCGTCTACCAATGGGATTCCAAGACGAAGACGATTGTTAATAAATTGGATTGCTCGAAATTGGTACCGTGCTCCGAGAGTCTCAAGAGTATCGCCATTGAGGAGCATTTAAGTCCTACCAATTGTCAGGTATGTAATACGCTCTAACAACAATACAACTGTCAAAATAACTAACCTTAAATTCTTTTTGTTGGCTATGTTACTGCAGATAAAGTTGATTTGCGGTAGTTTGTTCTGTTACTAGATCTTGACTTTAATAATACTTACAAATTTGGTATGAGTGGAAATTCTTCTATTGTCCAATGTGATAAAATATTACGAATATCAAATGGGACCGATAAACCAGCCTTTATTAATTCTGAATACCATTTTGACCTTAAATTCTTAACATTTTGGACTCTGCAGTCTATGTAGTCCATATTTTCAATATAAAACTCGTGTATATAATCTACTTGAAGATTATTTAAATCAGCTTTCACAAACCTTTGGATTTACTTTTCACAGAAATAAAAACGTTAAATTTATTACGAAAACTTGTAGATATTAGTTGGACTAGTAGACGTTTCCTTCACTTTCATGACAATTGACTCACAAACAAAATTATCAGGTGATGGGAGTCTACAGATACGTCGCAGAATATTTCAAGCTATGGCTTTTTCAAATTAAAGAAAGGATTTGCGATCTTACTTATTATGGTACCTCCATATATTTGAAAATACATAATTTTAAATTAGTCCATTGATTTATGCTAGAATCCGTTTCACAAGAGAAGAACCCACCTGAATTTGCAGTCGTATGCGCGAACGTGTCGTCATAACCAGCGCCATATTATAAATTTGATGTTTGACTTCAAATCAGTAGCGTAACCATTAGGGTGAATATTTTTTTCGACTATTTTTTTTTATTTTCGCTCCCGTCCTGAAATTTTGTTGAAAATGTCCCAAAAAAAATTCCCTAAATGTTTGAGCCCTTAATATTAATATTAAGTCCTCGACCAAGGCGTGCAAAGATTTTCCATTTAAAATACACGTAAAATTAGGGTTTTTTTCTTCAGATTTCTATAGCTTAGCGGCATTTCATGGTATTATTTCGACCATAAACATGTATTTCTCCAAATTAAACGCTCTACAAAAGTGTCTATTGCGGCGATGTCGTTACTCACACCGGCGAAGTAGTACGGGTCACTAAATCGAATTTTTTCATGAAATTCACGTTATTTGGACCCTATGTCATAAATGAAAAGAGTTACAGAAAAAATGTAAATGGCAAAGTTTTAGGATATTTAATTTACTACAAAAAATATCCTGACAACCAAATCGCTAAGATCAATATTTGTCGAGATTCGAGATATTAAGCCTTGAATTAATTTTACTGTAAAATTTTTGCCGATTATTGACTCAAACTTTTTGAAATCATGTTTTTTTTTGTATTATCACACTTTTTGTTCAATATATTTTTTTATAGTTAGAATACTAGAATATGATTAATATCTTACATCGTTAAAGCTCATATTTGAAGAATCTTTAACAAATAAAGGATTTACTAGTTCCTGCATAAAACATACAAATACAATTACTTTTATATAATTTATATATTACTAACATTTATTAAATTATAATAGTTTGAATCATATTAACAACAATAAATTATTTATGAAAATAGAAACAACAATACCAATAAATTATTATTGAAAGTAGACAAATTAATCGTTACATTGATTCATTGTTAATATATTGTGATTTTTTACACGATGTGTATTGAGAGCGATGATGCTGAACAGTTTGAAAAAAAATTTGTCTCTCAACTTCGTTATCAGTTAATGCTTCATTAAAACTTTCGGCTAGTGCTACTCCCCTTTCAGCAGTATCGTTAACCACTTTTAACATTTTAAATGTATTATAATACAAAAAAAACCAAGATTTCAAAAAGTTTCAGTCAATAATCGGCAAAAATTTTACAGTAAAATTAATTCAAGGCTTAACATCTCGAATCTCGACACATATTGATCTTAGCGATTAAATATCCTACAACTTTGTCATTTACATTTTTTCTGTAACTCTTCTCATTTATGACATAGGGTCCAAATAACGTGAATTTCATGAAAAAATTCGATTTAGTGACCCGTACTACCTCGCCGGTGTGAGTTACGACATCGCCGCAATAGACACTTTTGTAGAGCGTTTAATTTAGAGAAATACATGTCTATGGTCGAAATAATACCATGAAATGTCGCTAAGCTATAGAAATCTGAAGAAAAAAAACCCTAATTTTACGTGTATTTTAAATGGAAAATCTTTGCACGCCTTGGTCGAGGACTTAATATTAATATTAAGGTATCAAACTTTCAGGAAATTTTTTTTGGGGCATTTTCAACAAAATTTCAGGACGGGAGCGAAAATAAAAAAAGTCGAAAAAAAAAATCACCCTAGTAACCATTTTAAATTTAAATATGAATATGAAAATGGTGTAATTTTCTCCAGTTTTAATGCAAGAAATGTTGAAATAAAAATCCCCTATATACTCTATTGAATATGTAATATAGAAAGGAATGATCACTTTTATGGGTTTTTATGGCATAAATCATTCAAATGGTCAATAAATATGCTATTGAATTAGCGGGTGGAAATTGGAGATAAGGGTAAAAATGCAACCCTTAGAGTTTTTTAATTATATCTCGGAAAGGAAGCAAAATGCAGGTATAGTTAATACGAAATTTTTTGTAAATGCAATTTCACATCAAATTATTTATTTAAAATTTTTTTAGGGAACAATTATAAGAAAAAAGAATTAAATAGCTAAATCTAGTTTTTTACTTTTTTTGCGTATAATTGCTTTCTGAACAAAGCAAAATTCATGCAGTTAATATATTTTTTTTTTGTGTAAATAATACGATTATTTCACATCAAATTATTTATTTCAATTTTTTTATGTAAAAAATATAAAAAAAGAATTTAATACGCAAAAAATTCATTTTTTTGCTAATAATTGCTTTCTGAGTAGAGGTAGGTGCAGGCATTGCTTCATACAACAAAAAGTATATTGGGTTATAAACGTTTTTTAGATAAAAATGGACTAGCTGAGATATTGACCTCTTAGGATATAATAGCCTACTTCAAGCCCCTAAATATATCGTTTAGGCAATAAAAAAGATAAAAAAACAGAAAATAGGAACTTATAAAATTGTTTATTTTAATTTAGGAATGCTTGAAAAATATTGGTAACATATTGATTATTAAATGGTTTACTCAGATTACTGGCAAACTCATTGGAACTCAAATGCCATAATATGGCATAATAGGCGACTTTAGTATTAATTTTTATATTTTGAAAACCAGGGAAAAATATATAAATTTTTAAAACATTTCACATCTAAAAACTTTAACGAAATCTGCAGCATACAATAGTAGTGTTGATCAAACGATAAGTGTAAGAACAATGAATACAAAATAGCTTAGTGATAATAAATGTTTATTGTATTTCTTATTCAATTGACTGCTAGTTGAACATGTGTGAAGTATTTTATAAAATTTTATACTTTTTACCCTTCAAAAATTCAAACTTGTTTAATCCCATTTATAGTTAAACAAATTGATGACATTTTAGATGTTGGTTACTAGTTATTGGAAAAGTATATTATGAAGAAATTTAAGATTTTTTTGTTTATTGACTTTAGTGATATATCGATTTTAAAATTATCAATTTGGGCCATATCACAAAATTTGAAATATGTTTGCCTAGAATCTAGGAAAGTATGCTTGAAAAACTTATTTCTTGTAGGTCTGTATTATTAATCGCTTTCAGAGTCACTAAGAAATTCTATAATACTCCTACTGCTGTCACTGCTGCAATCATCCTCTGAAGTAGATTCATCAGATGATCCTGTATTTACAGTAAACACAAGAGAATCTACAGCATTATCCAGAATGTGTTCTTTTTTAATCCATTCAAATTCGCATTTCTTTACATGTTCGCAAATAGAACACCATTCTTGATCAGAAATTTCAGAAAATTTCTTCCTGGCTAATTTCTCCACATCATCCAGTTTAAATGTGGTATTGTGCACTGCCATCCAGTTCTTAACCAATGCCCACATTTTTTCTATTGGGTTGAATTCTGGATGATAAGGTGATAACCGTAAGACTTTATGCCCATGTTCTTTTAGTAAACAGTCCAATTTATAGGAAACAGGAATACCTAACAAATTTTTTTTATTAATTCATATAAAGCGAGTTTTGTCTTATTGACATCATGGTCAATTTTGTAGGCCCTAAGCCTTTCTAACATTTCTGTTTTCCTAGAGGCCGAAGTAATATTGGCATATTGGGGAATAGTTGTTCCTGAATCCACTTCATAAAGTTTGAATGATTCATATCATCATGGTAGTCTCCACTTTTAGAACCTAAAAAAATAGAACAAATTTAATCTAACCCACACGAAAATTTACTATTTTGTAAACAAATTACATAATAACTAAACATTCAGTACACATATGAAGTGAAGGATTGAAAGTTTTATTTGAATATAATTAAATACAAAAAAAAAATAGCAGTGCAACATGTCATATTAAGACATTGTAAATTGTGTTGTCTAATTTGACTGTTAGAATTATCTTTTATTATATATTGTTTTTAAACCAATGAAAAAACCATAAAAAACAATAGTATAATTTTCAAAAATGTATCTAATAAAAATCAGTACGTTTTTCGTTCTAGTCCAACATTTTTATGGACGCTAATGAGTGAAGTTATTCGTTTTTCCACACATTCAAATTAAATCATTTTTATTACTGTAGTCATTACTATTAAACAGCGGTTTTCCCTAAACTAAGTTAAAACATGTTACACCTGATATATACAGTATTTATAAATATTTGGCCTAAAAAATAACACATTTTAATATATGTAGAGACATACCTGAACGAAATAATAAGGCATTAGGAATAAATCCTTTTTCTCCACCTACATGTACAATCTCCTTCCTTCAAACTTTTTCCTTATATGTCATACCATCCCTTAGATTACACATGTGAGCTGTGGATGTATGTTTTATTAGTATATATAATATTCCAGCCTTCATTTCTATATTTAATAACATTTTCTAAGAAAGTAATTCTTGTGTGCGCTGCCATCTAGAATTATGGCATTATTAAATACTTATGCATGTTACTTATTAATATTTTTAATGTCACAATGTCTATTCTAGTCCTATATTATTTTTTTTTTCTAGAAAGCCTACTAAAAGTACACTTCAACTTCAAAAACTATACTTACCTAAACCCTATACTTTTTAGCAGCCTCCATCACTGATCTGTATTATTTTACTGGATAGGATATAGGCTATATTTAACATATTAAAAAATCGTTCCACCAAGGAGACCGGAAGTGCAACAATGCTGGCCGATTTGGGCAAATTATGGTGGGTTCAGAGAACTGAAATTTGGAATAATTTGACATACCTAACTTATAATTTGATTAGTTTTTCTTCTTATTCTTCTTCTATTCCTTTTGCGGGCGATGTCCTACGGGAAATTACACCCATGATTTGATTTTTTATGAAAGAAAATATAAAAATGGAAACGTGAAGCATATTGTGTCTTCAGGAATGAACGTTTATTGTTTATTTCATACTCTTTTTAATTTGTTTTCCACAATAAAAACATCTCGTCGTAGCTTGTTGACACAATTAAATGAAAAATATGGTGACAAATGGAAATAGAGGTTACGTTAAATAACATCCGGTCCGCCATATTATTTGCCCAAATCGGCCAATTTTTCGGAACGTTTTTTAGGGGGCTATATCCTATCCAGTAAAATAATACAGATCAGTGGCCTCCATAAAGAAGTTTTACTTTTTGTAAATTCAGGTAGAACCTTTTGTACTTTGTGAAGAATAGCTAAAAAAATATTCCTTAATACAAAACTTTTTTTCTATAATTATTATTAAAATACTTTCGAGCCTAAAAAATGGTTACGGTTAAAAGTGAACTGTCAGACGTTTCTTTTGAAGCTTTTTAGTATCTGTAAACGGTACAATATAAAAAAACCTGATTTCAGACACTTAATACAAAAATAACTATTTTATTTCTATCAAACTTACATTTTAAACTAGGAGCCCTTTTCTCCAGGATGTAAAAATCATAAACGATCTCCCGAATCCTTTCCAATTTTCCAAGTTTTAGTGCTTTCACTACTAATTTTTTCCTCGGTCTCTTTTTTCGAGGAGATCTAAATGAAGTAGATGCTCCTCTTTTAATAGCTAAGGCTTCCTTTTTAATTCTGGTGTAAGTACTTTTACTGGCACCAGTTGCTTTTAGAGTTCGTTTTCTGCAATTTAAAAATATAGGTATTAAAAATCAGCAATATTTACATTGTATGGTTGTGGAAATACTTCTAGTCCCTAAACAAGTTAGTTGCTAAGTGATACAATGTCCCGTTTGAAATTAAATTATGGCTAAAAGCAAATAAGATCACATTTAAATAAAATGATATATAGATAGTAATAAATATCTGTATTTTATCAAAATTTATTCTAATTTTTTTCTCAAGGAAAATAGAGGTTGCGTATATTAAAAAGACTCGATCAGGATATATATTTTACGAATTAAAGAAATGTAATACTATAAGCTTGTCTTCCAAATATACCAAGATATATAGTTTTTCATTGTAAAAAATAAATATTTTCTTTACAGGCAAAATCATATAAGTCGAATACTTTTTAGTAGAATTCAATTATTTTTAAATTAGAATACTACTTTTCTAAAGACTCTATAACAAAATTTAGCAATATTTGTTTTACAGATAAAATTTTATACCCAAACTTCGTATGTTTATGACAACATATGTAATTAGGTGGTATTTGCGATAAGGGCACGATTTATAATCTACAATAACATAATGAAACAACTGATATTTTTGTCCAAAGACATAAGTATATAAATTCGCCAAAGAATACTTGTAAATTCTGACTGATCTGGTTAGGAATAATAAATTACATTATTACACAGGTATTTTATACTTTTTTATTCTACTTACCAATGATTTTGTAAAGGAATTTGAATTCCATCTTCAGCTTCGGTTTTCATAAAAGATGCGACATTTTTTATAATCTGCCGACCTTTACTATGGATAATTTTTCCTTTTAAACCAACAAGTTTTTTAGAAGGCATGGTTTTAGATTAAATAAAACACAACACTCACTTACATAACCTTAAATGTCAAAGCTAACGTCGCTAACAAATAAATAAATGGCTATTGGTATAAAAATGACATAGGAACAAGACATAATTTGGTTTCTGCGATTGTCATTGTTGCAACTTCAGCTGGGTTTTTCTCTCGTGAAACGGAGTCTACCGATTTCCTTTTGGTGAAATTAGGAGCAATTTTTTTATTTCAGGTAACCAGCCTTGTCGCTTTAAACGACGAACTCTACATAGGCACCACTTGGGGCTGCGTGATAATTGCCGAACGGTTCACTTTGCGCCCCATAACGATTTTCCGCCCATACGAAGAGGAAGTTCGAGCTATAGTTCCGCTTCACACTGGTGCCAAATCCGCTCAGGGAAATCAAGAAAAAGTACCGCTGATAGCGACCATCGGTAGGGGATACAGGAACCTCTTATCCAGATACACCGACGTCCCGGTTAACACCGGTACCCCACTGCCTAGTCCGATGGGGGCATTCGGCCCGCCCTGCGTTAAACCGAATATGTTTGTGTTACTTTGGAGGGCGGAGCATTGGAACGCTCTCTAATGGGAGGGAGCGGGTGATGTATTTTAGAGGTTGTTCTTATTCTTTGTTCATTCCTGGAGGCTGTTATTTTTAGTTGTTTCGAATAAAATGAGGGAAAATAGGAAATTTTAATGTATAAAAACGATGTATTTATTTTTTAATTTCGTTGATTTTTGACAGGAACAATTATTTTAAGTCAATTATTTCTAGCTAGTTTAATTATCTTGATTTATAAATCATAATGGATTTTTACTTACGACATTTGTTTGTGTAACTAATTCGTGTAATTTTTTGACTCACAAGTTAAAATATTTTCTTTACTTACAAGTATTTCTGATTTTTGCTTAAAAATTAAGCTTTTGTTTTTTTAATTAGTCCAAATTACTATAAAATTGATTGCGATTCATAAGATTTAATGTTAAAGATTCTGTCAGTTCAAAATGTAACTTGTAATCAGATAATATCTTTATCAGTTAAAGAATCACTTTATATGACGGGTTGAAATTCTTGACTTGTAAGTCAGTAAATATATTGATAAAGTCAGAAAATATATTGATAAATTGGAATTCTTTATTTCTAATCAGTCAAATTTCTTGACTTATAAATCAAAATGATATTTTTTACTTACAAACATTTTTGTTAATCGAAATTTCTTGACTAACAAATCAAAATGTTTTCTTTACTCACAAGTATTTCCGACATTCGTTTTAAAATGAAGCATTTATTCTTGCAACTAGTCCAAATTATCATTATATTCGATTGCGATTCACAAGATTTATTGTGAAAGATTCGTGTAAGTTCAAAATTTAACTTGTAATCGGAGAATATCTTGACCATTTTATATGTTAGAGAAAATTTCTTAACAAGTTGCGTTTTTAAACTTGTAAGTTTAACATTTCTTGACGGGTTGGAAATCTTGACTTGTAAGTAAGTCAGAAAATATATTGATAACTTGACATTTTCGAAGTCAGAAATTTTTTGGCCAATTGAAATTTTTTATTTCTAATAATTAGTCTAATTATCTTGGCTTATGAATCAAAATGCATTTTTTTACTTACAAACATTTTTGTTAATTGATTGTGTAACTAACTCGCCGAATTTTCTTTATTTACAAGTCAAAATATATTCTTTACTCACAAGTATTTTTGACTTTCTTAATAAGTTGCGTTTTTTAACTTGTAAGTTAGACGTTTCTTAATGGTTTGGAAATTTTGACTTGTAAGTCAGAATATAGGTTTGTTCGTAGAGACAGTTTCAAACGGTTGGTGATTCTTTTATGATGCGCATGCGCGATTTTCAACGGTTTGGGATTTATTGTCATTTTTATGCTCTGCGAACGCATGTTTTACAGTTGTGGATTCTTTCTCTACTATTCTCGTGAATTAGATATAGATTTAGTAAACGGTTAAAAAAAAGAAGAAATTGTGTTAATAATTTGCACCCAAATTCTCATTTTATCAACATATTTTACTTTTATTACCTGTTTTAAAGTTAAAGACTGATATTTTATCAGGATACTGAATGGTAGGTCTTTGTGGTCTTATGTTATTTATTAATTGTTATGTATCTGTACTAATTACACTTATAAAAACAACTAATCAAATCAATATAAGTATTGACGAATTAAAAACACATAAACGGACATAAATTTCAAGCCAAACAAATGTCAAATTGTAGGTTATTAAAAATAATTCATGTACGCATGCCCCGGATTTAAAATTCGGAGAATAATCAGGGATTTTTCCAACCGTTTCCAATCAGTTGGCAATTACTTCATTTGTTTCTACGAACACCAAATTAATAATTGGAAACTATCAGTGATTCTTCTACGAACGCAAAATAATCAATGCGCATGCGCTGTTCAGTTGGAAACGGTTGTGGATCGCTCTACGAACAAACCTTATATGTTTAATTAGGAATTTTTAACTTGTAAGTCAGTAATTTCTTGCCAGGTTGGAATTCTTAACGTGTCTTCTGTAATTTTATAAACTTGCTAGTTATTTATAATTTATTTATATTAACTAATAATTAGGAACATTTATTGTTATTTTTGTGCTTTTTCTAATTGTAATTAAACTTTATTCCAAATTCCGTATAATCTAAAAGAAGAATGGTAAACGGATATTTTATTTTAATGACATAAAAAAGCACCTAAATCTATATTATGTTTTATTAATTTTGTTTGTAATTTGCATTTTTGCGTTTTATCTATTTATATCTCATATTTTTTTTAGACTGTTTTTTTAACATAGACTGTGATCACATTTCTTGTCATTTACTTTAATATACTGAGGTTTATTTTGTCGAAAATAAAACGTTGTTTAAGGTTATTTCTGTTTTATTTCTATTCTATTATATGAGTACATAATGACAAATAAGGCGCTAAATATATATTTAATCGACCACAGCAAGAATAGGATTTAATCGACCACAGCAAGAATAGGATTAGCATAATAAAATATAATGCTAGGGAAAATCCCACTAATTTATTTATACCAACTTAATCTAACGTAAATAAAAAATATTCTGTTAATTTCGGAGACAAGAACGAGTAAAACGTAATAAGTGTCTGCGGTCTCAAATTGTGAATCCCATAATTGGAATTTCCAATTATAAATAAATTATTGTTAAATTTATTGTAGAAGCATAAGTTGTAGAAAATACAAATTATAATGACAATGTCTATACAGGGTGTCCCAAAATTCCGTGTACATAGATCTACTGTATGTTGATGAGATTAAAATAAGTCGATTGAGCCAAAATTACCTATATCACAAAGTCCATCGTTTGCCTGTGAGGAAGCTTCAAAGTTGGAAGAAAATTTTCAATTTTTTTTTAATAACAAAAACGCTTCGTTCGATTTTTATAAAATTTGTGTAGCTATTTTAATTGAAGAGCCATTGTTCAAAGCAAAAACCACCCTAATCCTACCATAAATGACATCGTATTTTTTTTCAGGGCCGCCGCTGTTCCTTTTTTTTTGTGGAGAGCTGTTTTCATTTGTAGCATTTTTTCTCTCTTGCAAAAACATGTATCTCTCATGGTATTTGAGTAAAAAACATTTTATGGACTGATGGTTAGTCACTTAAAATTTTCAAGAAAACTAAGTTGGCGGTTACTACTGCAACCCGAACACGATTTTAACGTTATTACAATAAAACAGTCATTAATAGGCATAGGTATCTATTGAAAAATAACAATTCGAAAAGAAGGATAAATTTTGTTTACAATAAATGTTCAATATGGCCACCTCCTTCGTTCATGCAGATTTCAATTCGGCGCAAGAAATTGAAGTGTACCCTTCTCAAAATGCCTAGATCATTTCGCATAGAGTTCACAGCAGTTTGAATCCTACCCCATAATTGTTCAATGTTGTCGATAGGAACTTCATAAACTTTGGTTTTCAAGTGACCCCAGATAAAATAATCACAAGGATTACAGTCCGGTGATCGAGGTGGCCACTGAATAGGAGCATCCCGACCTCTGCCAATCCATCTTCCATGGTATTGTTCGTTTAAATAATCTCTCACAATGCGGAAAAATGAGATGGTGCACATCGTGCATAAAAAACATGTCACGGCGTAAATTGAGCGGTAAATCTTCTAACAGTTGAGGCAAATCTTGACGTAGAAAATGCAAGTAACTGTCACCGTTAAGACGATCTGGTAATCTAAATGGACCAATCAAGTAGGTGTCAATAATATCCACTCACACATTAATTTTAAACTCTCGTTGAAAGTGTTTCTCTTTAATGGCATGTGGATTTTCATCTGCGTAAACATGTTCGTTATGTGAATTTGTTATACCACGTCGTGTAAAGCATGACTCGTCTGTAAACAAAATTTGTCTTAGAAAAACTGGATCGGCCGCTCTGTACTCTTGAATAACTTGTACAAAATGCAAACTAGACTCATAATCAGGAGGTAGGAGTTCCTGGACACTTTGAATGTGAAAGGGATACATAAGTTGTTTAGTTTGGCGTGCCAGTCGTCGGGTACTAATTCCGGGATTATTTTCAACTATTTCAAGTATTCCCTCCTCTGCAGCAGGAGTTCTAACATGACGAGGTCTTCCAGCATTATTTCTGTTCGGTTTCAGTTGACCAATTTCTCGAAGTCGCCTCTCGATAGAAGTAAAAGTCTGGTGATTCGGAATCTGTCGATTTGGAAATCTTTCATGGTATACCCGAACACTCTCACGGCAGTTGCCATTACAGAAACCAAGCACTAGCAACAGATCAGTTTGTTCATTGAATATGTACTCCATACCAACCACAAAATGTTTGAAATAACTCCTTCACAAAAACTTTAAATCGAAACAGAAAAAATACAATACATACATAAAATGAGTAGTATCGACAATTATTACAGTTCTACAACATTACATATCTGTCAAAATTATTAAATTGTTTATTGTAACGTTGACAACCGCCAACTTAGTTTTCCTGAAAAGTGACTAACCCTCAGTCCATAAATTTTTTTTACTCAAATACCATGAGAGATACATGTTTTTTGCAAGAGAGAAAAAATGCTACAAATAAATATAGCTCTCCACAAAAAAAAATAGGGAACAGGGGCGGCCCTGAAAAAAAAATACGATGTCCTTTATGGTAGAATTAGGGTGGTAGATGTACAATACTGTAGATGTACAATAATTATTATCGATTTATACGATAATTTCACAATTCTTTCTCGGATGAATTTAATTTTAAAGTAGGTGATACAGGAAAGGAAAGGAACTTTATTGCATTCCGATGTAATTTGAATCCGAATGACCTTGCATCACTGTATGGTACGCACGTAATATTTGCAGGACTTGCTTTCTTCTTCTGAATATTATTTTATCTTTATAGGGAACTTTATTTCTGAGTTAACACTTTGACTGCTATTTGTATATATATACCCATGTGTATGTCTCATTAGTGCGTAATTGTTCAATATTTTAATTTGTGTTAAAAACACGCAAACATGTTTCAAAGAAAATTAATATGGATTTGGGAAATACATATTTTAAAAATATTT